TTAAAATCTTAATATTAATTCAAATGATATGAAACTGACTTTCAAAAAAAAATCATTTGTCTATTTTCTAAATTTTCTCTCTAATTTACAAAAAAATCCTAGAATTATTGTAGGTACTTGGTTTTCTACCTTCAGGTCTAATTTCGACCCAAGTTTACAACCAGCCTTCTTTGAGTATTAATTTTTGATAATTTGAGTTAATTTCTACTTTAATATATTTTTAATTCTTTATTTAAGATATCTATATTATTTACTTATCTTATTTACTTTGATTTGAGGTATTTATGCTTCTATGAAGTAAATAGAAGTTTTTTTTATAAAAGGCAGCATTAAGATCAAACTTTTTACTATCTTTCTATCATTTATTGTTGTTTTTTTACTACATCTTTTTCTAGGATCTTTTGTAATAACATCCATATTTTTTTATTTTTCACGATATAGTTGTATTACTACATGACTTTGCAACCTGTGAAACATAATAATAGAAGTAGGATAATCCACTCATTTCTAAAAATAAGACAAGAATAAGGAATTAAGATACTTATCAATTTGTCAAGGACAAGAATTCAAAGAAGATATTTAAACAAGTGAGAAATGAATCAAAGAGATGATAAAGTAGAAATAAGAAAGTAAATATATTCAATAAGAAATTGAAATGGCTATTGTCAAAAGCAAGAAAATTAGAGACTTTTGAAATTAGATTAAAATCAAGAAAGGAGTTGAAAAGAATGAAGAAGGCTTCACTTTTGCCTCTATATATTCTATCTATCTAAGAGCTATATGGCAATATTCTATAGGACTTCCAATATATGTCAAATTTGTAAGATACATGTCTTAACTTGCAATGTAAGTTTCTTATAAGTGTACCATATTATTAGTTTGTACCACAAGCTATCAATACATGTGACACAAGGACAATTTGTTGGCCAAGTTTCTAACCAATCAATCATCTAAAGATATGTATAAAGATGAAATTATATTTATGAAGCTTCTAAGAAGCTATTGAATAAGATATTATTAAATTAATTTATTTTTATCTACTTCTATTTATTTATATTATCTATGTAATTAAAGGTATGTCCATGATATAAGCTTTCTAATTGGTGGCCAATAACTCTACTCAATGTATAATACAAAATCTTTGCTAAGGCCTTTTAACTCTATTTAAAGAGCACTTTTGAAGTAATCATCAATCCGGATTGAAATACATTCTTACCAAACATGTACATAATTGATAACATTTTGCTTATCCATAAAACTCTCAATTGAATTAAGAAATCCAAACAAGAAACAAGCTTCTTAAAATTGGATTTTTTGAAGGCATATGATTGTATAGAATAGAGGTTCCTAGTTAGAATAATATTCAAAATGAAATTCTCTCTGTCTTTTGTCAACATGATGAGATTGATATTTCAAAGAACATTTGCGGCGATCAACATCAATGAGCAATCTACTACCACTTTCCTAATCAATAAGAGTATACAATAAGATTTCTTGTTAGTCTCATACCTCTTTTTAATTATTGAAGTAGCATTAAATGTCTATATCAATAAAGCTTGATATTAAGAAAAAATCTAGGACATGCATTTATCAAGTTCAATGGCACAACAAATCAATCTCCAATATGGAAACACTATATTCTTTTCCATCTAAGTCAATCAAGATGTAATATAATATTTGGTATACATCCTTGAAACCTTCACATTTGTCTTAGATTTGGTCCTCAATTGGACCAAATTTGAAGCCTATTGGATTGGCAAGAAAACTCAAATTCTAAGTTGGACCACTACTTAGGCATGGGTGTGGATTCCAAACAGACAACTAGCCAAAGTACTCAAGATACCATTCATCTGTTCCATCCAAACTAATGATCTCAATGGCTTCTTTATTGAAAGGATCAAAAATATACTAATATATTAATACTCTTTTTATCTTTTTTTAGTAGGATGCTACCTCATTATCAATAAAATCATGTTTTCTACATTATGGTTCTTTATTAAGATATAGAATGGCTCTCATAAGGCAATTAAACAAATAAAGATGAAGCTCCAAAACTACCTTTGGCCAGGAAGAAAGCACCACATAAGAGCTTAAGTAGTATGGCAAACATGTATATTGAAAATGAAGGTAGGAGGGTTAAATATCACTGACCTTGACAATACAATGAATTACATTTTGAATAAGTGGATCATCAAGGCTTTCAAACCAAGGTATACAAATTTGCACATTTTTTTGCTACAAAATCTAAACCATTATTGACTTGTTAAGCTCAAAAAGTGGAGTCTTGATCAAAATTCATACATGGTTTAAGGGCACTAGTGACTTCTAGGATTGAAAATTTAGACACGAATTGGTAGGACTTGGCACAAAGTGGTGAATGCATTCCAATAGAGGAGATCCAAGTCAAGACATGAGACTAAAAACATCAACTTGTGATTTAGCTCCAAATTAGGTTCTACTACTAGCTTATTCTTTCCAAGACAAAGAGCTATAACACTGAGTAGTTTCAGCTTCTATAGACTAAAAAACATATGGATACTATTGGTACAAAGGAACTTCATTTGAAACAAAGCCAAAATCAATTTTTTATTCCAAGACAATGAAGAAAAAAGATAGAACAATCTCATCTAATGCATTGAAGACCAATTTGGTACCTTATTGTGCAAATATTCAAACATTATTGAATCAAAGAAATAGGTAGCTCTATATAATTTTGGATCTAATCAACCATCTATTCTAGTAGTGAAGATGCATAAGTTCTTCTTTCATTTGATCCAAAACAGTACAAATAGTATGAGAATACACCTCTCTTCCAATTCAACTTCAAAGATGCCTAAGGTTGGATCACAAATCTAAAAGATCTAATTTTACTACACCAAATCAAATGGCAAATTGAGTTCAGTGGTCATATTCCAATTAAATGGCATAACCTATGGCATCCAAAGAGAGCCAAAAAAAAGACCTTATTTGTGTGGAATATATGGCACAAAATAGTTGCAGATAACAAATAGAAAATATAAAAAAAAAAAAAAAAAAAAAAAAAAAAAAAAATACTTGTCGACAATTGATAAGTCTTGTCTCTTCTACTTGGGCTTGAAGGAAATATACCTTCATAGGTTTTGGACCAATTCCTATGCAAAACTCATTTGGAAATGGTGTATTAATCTTATACAAGCTTTACAAAATTCTCCAACATATCTGCTAGTCTAAGTTAATTTTAGCTAGAACCAATGCATCTTTGCTTGTAAGCTCACTCAATGCAAACTTATTTGGACACTCCTTCATAGAATCACCATATAAGAATTGTGGCTTGAACAAAACAACAACTTCTAAGCCATTCATTGGCTTGAAGAAAAAAAAGAAGGCCTCCATGTCGCAAGGATTAATTGACTATATGCAAATAGCCTAGAACCAAGTTCTACTCACAATACTGGAAAATACTCCACTTTCCAACATTAGAATTTTAATTTAAGTTTGGAGAAGAATAATATTTTGTATACGCAATTAGAAAGAAACATAAAATGGCATCCTACTAGATCCCATAACAAGTTAGATTAGATCCCTTGTAAAGAAGGATTGTATAGTAAGTCTAGTTGCAATATTGAGTTGTAGTCTAGCCAAGACCTCTAATCCCATCTTAACCAACATTCTATATTAATTTTCCTACAATGAAATCATTCATTTATACCAAAAATAAATAAAAATAAAAATAAAAACTTATAAATAAATTATATCTTTTAATTAAGATATTGTAATGCCATTAAAAATATATTATATTATTTATGTAATATGACATAAATTTATACCTTTATTCACTTTTATGTATTTTTCAATTAATTGCCATTATTTTATCAATTTTTTTTGTAATTTCAAAAAAAATCTGAAAAAAATTATACAAAATTTCATTTATTTGTTTTTATTGATTTATATATTTATTTTTAGTATTCTTATGAAGATTTTTTACATTACATTGACACATATAACATGGTAGTAATTCTAAAGATGCATGTTTTTGAGATTTCACATTTAATTCTTATTAAATTGTAATCTACAAGGTTTATTTACTCTTATCAATCTTGGTAGACTTATTAGATTGGGAACCATCATTTTATGGACACTCTTCTAAATTTGCTACTACTTTGTTTTATTGTGTAAATAAAATCTTCATACATAATGCTGCTCCTATGTGATGGGGATTCTAATGGTGACTAAGTTGAATAAGAAGATGAATATATATATATATATATATATGGAAGTTGAAACATTAAAAAAGATAAAAAAATAAAATTGCCTTGGATATAAAGACACTTCTCTCTTTAATATATAGCTATTTTTAATATACAACCATTTAGATTTATTTCTGATATTTTATTTTGAGGCACTCTTTATGTTTATAATTGAAGTATAAATTACTGTAGAATAAAGTATTCATCAGCAAATAGAATAAAATACATTTTCCACTCCAAGAAATCAAGCAACTAAATCAGTACAGCATTGTGTCATTGAGACTTATAACTTAAAGAAAAGGCTTTGTTTTACTTCCAATTTTGTCTTAATTGAAAATCGATTAATCAAAACTTAAAGTATCTGTACTGTATGGCTCTCTCCATATCTGTACTTAATTGAAAAATCTAAAACTTTGTTTCTCCACATATCCAGAGTTAAATGCCCATATGAATACATAAATGCCTAGGAATCTGTTATGTCAAAATTGCCAAGCTTCAGCTTTTGAGTTTGTCGTAAATTCATCAAAATCGTCTTAGTATTCTATTTTCTGAACATTGACTAGACCAAAAAGAAACACAACCTGGTAACTAGAGCTGAAATATACACCCAATTACTATCTTAAGGTAATATTTTGTGTATAAGCAGAACTTGAGAAATTCTAGAAAACATGTCATTATACAAGCGGGTCTGTAACCTTAAGAAAAACTCCTGTGAAACTATGAGTACATCAGTGTAATACACTACGATATACAATGCTAAGAAGAAACCAAGCATTAATCAAATCAGTTTCATTTAAAATCACTCAATAGCCTTTCCAACACAACTTGATTCAGGCGCCGAAAGGAATTTTGTATGAAGTTCATTACAAAAGACAAAATAGGTGTACCAAATGACAAACTATATCATTCAAAAATTCTCTAAGATCTAATTCGCTATACTTGCTATCCAGATGACCTGAGTAGAACTGGGTCATTGAAATGAATACCATCCCGTAAGGAGCGAGATGGTTGAGCAGGTCCTGCAGTGTCATGCAAACGGCGACGCAATCCACGTAAGCCCCATGTCCATGTTTTGGAATTTGACAATGACATTGGTGACAATTGCGGTTCGCATTCATGTGCTTCGCCTGCTTCCAAATCTTGTGTTTGAAGCTCTAGAGAGAGCTCATCATCTTCATATCCAAAACCATGCTTCCCAGCCGTCCACGCAATTCCCCCAACATTGCAACCATCCAGTAAGCTTTTGTCATCACCCTGACCCTGACCAAAAGGAGGACATGAAGCGCCTCCAAACTCATGATCATGCCTTTCTTCTTCTCTTCCAGCTTGGGACTTTGAAGACCATGCTGCTGCAACTGCCTCTCCATCCTTCGTAAAATCTATGGTCGGTTGATTGGTTGTATATGTATTCACAACAGAAACGCCTAGTGGCGTATTTAAGTCTGGTACTGATGGCAAGTTTCTCTTCTCATAACCCAGCAAACCAGACTCACTGCCTGTGGACACAGTTCCAATGGAAAGATGAAATGGCGAGTTCAGGTCTGGGAAAGACGAAGAGCTTTTGCTTTCATAGCTATCCATTCGCCCCAGCAAGGGAACTACCTGCGGAGAACAAACCATACAACTGAGTTACACCTTATAACCTTAATTTGTATAATAACAGGCACAGCACGAGCTATATATAAAGGATATGTAGTACACTTGCTAAGGTAAATCTTCACACGAAAATCCTAAGAAACCATACCGTTTCGAGAATATTTTAAAAGTATACCTGATCCATTGCACTCTTTCCCACGATTCTCCGTGTGTCTTTGTGTGCAATCACCAAGGACGGGCCAGCCTGGTAGTCAGAAGGTTCAACAGCCTTCCGTAAGTATCCCAAAGACGCTTCATCAGAATTATCAGCAGCAGCTTGAAAGTTTTCTGCCCGCTGCATGGCCACGTATTGTTCAAGCATCTCTAAATCCTTTTGTGCCAACTCCTGTTGCGTCGACTTAATTCTCTTGGTAACGAAAACGTCAGCTGCAGGCACAATAAGCAGATTAGAATGAAACTATTACATACATCAAGAGGAATCACATCAAAAATCACATATTCATAAGGTAGTGTGTCAATTAAAAAATACGCTCACCATTTTCAACCTCAAAGTTTGAGGGCCTCTTCAGCACCCAACTCGGCATGTCTTTCCGATTACTGGGATTGGTTGTCGCCTGTCCACCTTTGTGTAAACGGCTTTGCCATAAACGTAAACCCTGCTCTATCTCTGGGACCTCAGCGCCACTGTGGGTATCTTTACAGTCAACAAAATCACTAGCTCCACTCTGCTCTTTGTCTTCGACATCATTATCTATTGCAGTGAATTCTACCGTGTTCTGATACCTTTCAACATTAGTCAAATTCATCTGGCTTGCATCAACAACCGAAGGCACTTCCTTGATAGGGGCGACAACAACTTCCACTGAATTTTTTGTAACAGGATTACGTCCTTGTTCAGATCTCATAATTCTCTGCTTGAAATGCCGAACCCAAGGGTTGGCAAAAACAGCAGAAGCAGGAGGTGGCTCAATTCCATGTGGCCTATAATATGACTGCTGTTGTCCGCCTTGCATTAACTCGAATAGCTGGACAAAGAAAGAAAATGTATCAAGATCAGAAACATGACAGAACAAATCATAAGCATTATAAATAAAAACCATGTATACTAGTAATGATGTGCCACTAACAGATGATATCCATCAGGTCTGGCTATTCACCTCAGTAGGATGAGATGTGCAGCAGCCATAAGCATCTACTGGTCGAGATTCTACACAATCTTGTTCAGAGTCGTCAATTTGAGCTGAATTCCCATGGATGCCCAAATGGCCGAGTCCCTGCTGATTATACAAACTCCTGACAAATGTTGCCTCCATGGAATCCAAGAATGAGCTATGCTTGTCATCTGTCCAAGTTGTTGCTGCTGACTCTGGTTCTCTTTGGATCTGGTCAAAAAATATGTATTGACGTTCATCAGAACAAGCTCAGAATCATCAAGTGACGCCAGTGACTTAGGTCACAACAAATTGCTCATGCAACTGTGAGTCTAAACAAAGAGCATTATAATTTAATCCAAAAATCTGCATGTATGTAAGATCTGTCTCTTCACAATAACGACAAAATACCTCTTGGAGACCTTGGTCGGACTCAGATATCACAAGTGTTGTACTATGTTCAATAGCATTAATGTATTTGGTTCACTCAGAACTCTACGTTATCTACAGTGCCTGTTAAATGTAATAACACTGAGTGTGCGATTTGGAACATCAGAAGCTATCCACAGTGCAATGACGCTCGAGGGTAGATATTGACGAGTGTCCGCAAAAAATCAAAATTGGTCCTCCTTGGAAACCCTTACCGAGTGGATATCTGAGTCTGAAACTCTCGTAGGACTTTCGGGCATGGTCTTCAGATCTTCGTCGACCTCATTCTCGCCTTCATTCTCCTCCAACATCGATCCACTCAAAGCAAGTGCATCTGATCCCTTTCCTTTGGATCCCATTTCAATCTTCGTGGCCTGTGAGGCCCCTGACGTACTTCTCAGCAAATGCTGTCTATCATTAATATTTACAGAGTCTCCATCAGACATGGTTGAGCTTTCAGAAGATTCACCAGAGTTACCAGAGAACTCCATATCTTCAGAGTTGCGAACCAATGAGTCTGATGCATGGTTGCTCGTAGATTGTTTGACATTGACCGGGCACAATGAAGCCACAGATGCAAGCATTGCCCCAGATTGCTGCATTCGAGGGTTGCCTGGTACTCCAACCCCAATGGAGGCCCCTTTCGCTCTGATGGTTACGTCAGTTGCACAGCGCTCGAGAGAAAGAGGCGTATGATGTTGCCAATGATGTGTACCTTCGGATGTCCCTCTGATCTGCACATTCCTGAGTTCCGCGCTATTATTGTGTGCCACTATCCCTGTTCCTAAACGGGCTCTGCAGCGTCCATTCAATCCCGGACGAAACATGCTCTCCGACGTATTTCTGATGTACAGCAACTGAAGACTACAACTCGATAGGATTTTAATCAGTAGATGCTGTAACCTTTACGTCTCAACTTCTAGGGTGTCTATCATCTCCGTCTCCAAAGGAAAATATTATATCGCTCAAAAAGCAAATAGACGAGCAATCTTCCGATAAATAGTTACACATGCTCGATTCCTACAGCATACCTTACGCTTCCGGCTGAGTACGGGAAAACGAGGATACGTTGCACCTCTCAATAAAACGTCATAATAACATCAGCTTCACCTCTTGCAAAATATGAATAGGTAAGCTCGTGATAAAATTAATAATACTCCGTCAATGGCTGAAGGTGTGGAGGCTAATAAAAGGAAGGACTAAACCGATTATACCCCCAGAATGGAATTCCAAATAGGAGAAGTTGGCGCAACGGAGGCACTTCGAGATCACTCAAGAAGGAAGGCCAAAATCAATCAAAAGTTTGAAGATGCTTATAGTGTTTGAAGACAAAATGAGGCTCGCATCACGCTCTCAAACAGGAGCCTCGGAAACATTCGTCGAGGAGGCTAAGAATCCTCTTAAGTCAGGACCCTAACTCGTTCACAACTTCGCAAACTAACTGTTACAAATCTTCACCAATGCCTCACCAGCATAAGAATTCCCCCACACAGATACCAAGCCAAAAAAGAGACATCAAACGAGGCGAAGTCCACACAGCACTACGAACACATACCACTCACTACCTCTCGATTCCAGAACACACCCCGAAACTCCAACCTCTCATCGAAAGTAGCTGAAGGCTAGGTTGCACCGGTCAGAAACACTATCGTCATTCTCCCCCCACGCCATCAGGCAAAACCACGCACGCAGTGCGAACACCAACGCTACAACTCACGATTTCAATCAGACATACCAAACTGCTCCTCCTAATATCGCTAAGCACTTCTACTCCTGCATCTCTAGACACCAAAACCTCATTCAAAAACCTCACCAAGTCCCTGGGAAATACACTACTCCGGACACCTCACTAGACAAGGAATGCAATTGCAACACCCGCGGACAGCCAATCAACCCCGATCAACGAGTGCAATCGAATGAAATACAACCCCGTCGAACTATCGCCAGCCTCAAACCAACACGACTACAGTATGAGAGAGCGAGAGAGACGACGACGACGATGACGACGGCCAGACAGAAAGCGTATGGCAGCCAAAGTTACCACAAATAATGGTCAACTTCCCTTGCCATGCGAGTTCTTTTACCCCAGATATTGTCCAGTTTACCCGTGGTCACTTGCCACCACCGGTGGACCTTTCTGTTTTACTCCACCCGAAGGGTGAGGAGGGTATAGTGAAAAGCAATTCCGACCAGATCCCCCGGTGGTAAAGCTCGGTTCGGTAACTGGCATCACCAGTGGATTGAACGCGAGATCTTTTGGGAGGGGAAAAGTTCGTCACTATGGCGTCGTCCGCGTTCCCATGGCATCCCTGGCCTGGCATCACCCGTTCCTGCGCTCTCCTTGTGGTCCTCATTCAAGTTCCCCTCTGGGTTCCCCATCCACGCCCATGTGGGCGCAATCTTAAAAGAACCCCAAAAGGACTCCTCAATGCCAAATTAAGCCATTGGGCATGCAGCTCCTCCTCATTCCACCAAACCTTTAAAAAATCCACCCAATATCAGAAATCCATCTACATCCATAATTGAGCCCAAACTTGCCTCCTTTCTCCTATCTCTTGATTCTTCTTCGACAAAAATGATATGGGAAAACAAAAAAAAAACTTACCAAGACCATGCTTCCTTGTGAATGAATCGCCAACAGAAAACTGCCTTCTGGAGACTTTAGGTGGCTTAATATTATTATTTTTGCTGTTGATGTTGATAATAGTGTTCAGAAACGTAAGTTTCATGTTGTTGCAGTATAAATCTTTCATATTAAAAAAATAAAGGAGGAAAAGCATGTGTAGGCTTTGAAGTAGAAGACACACCCCATGAGAACCCAAGATGCCATTTTCGATTTTTTTGCTTTTTTTAAATGGTGGTGGTGGGAACGGGGCCATGCAAACTGAATGGCAGCCAGTCATCTGGGAGAGAGATCTTTTCAAGTTGTGGATGGATAGCATGTGGTAGAATCTAAACCAGCTGGTGCTGGCTTCTTCTCCTCTGCGCCTACCCCCACCCTTGTGAACTTTTTCCCCTTTGTGTGTGTTTCTGAGGGTGGCCCCCAGCTCCAGCCTGACACTTTTTTCTTCCTGGAGTTAGGGATCCCTCCAACTCAGTTGAGACCCCCATAACCACACATAGTCTTGATGAACTATAAAGAAGATGAATCCTATCCATCCCCAGTAGGGTCCCAGAGGGGGAGCGTGTGGGAGATATTTATATGGCCTCCAATTGGTTGTAAAGGATGGTGTGGGAATTTTCTAGTGTGATGGCAAAGTTTGTAGAATGAATGGAGTGTGGATCTTTATCACACAGTAATATTCACCTCTTCACCACTCTCACACACATTGAGTTTTAGTGTATTATGTGATATTTTTAGGAGCATCTGAAAAATGGTGGGTTTTAGTGAGAATATATCTATTTGAAAGCATGTATAATATCTTGCCCAGGAATACAGCAGAGATCCTGATTTCGACCTTCATTTGTTTTTTTATATATAAATATAACCAAAACTGTAAACATGCATATGATTGTCAGTAAATGATTTAATTTTGGATGATGTAATAATTGGAAAAGGGCTTCCTTTTACCGCATTATTGTAGCATATAAACCTTCAAATGATTAATGTTAGTGTATTTTATTTAGTCTCAACCAAATTTTCTTGGTATTGATTGAAATTCATGTGATAAACTGTTTCTGGGGGGGGGGAATGATTGTTCCCATAGAAACTTCCCAAATGACTTGTTCCCACCAAACCAATGATTTTTGTTCCCTTTCAGCATTTAAAAAAACTACTACCAAATGAGCTTTCATGAGAACAACACAGTTTGAAATTAATAATCAGCCATTTTGAATCAGCTATTTGAATACAAACAATTGGCATGTCTATTGACAACAAGAATGGGTAAAGTTGTTGAATGGATTTTCACCTCAATGCTTCTTCATACTTTTTATGCAAACTTTTACTTTTTGGGTGGGTGAGCAGCAGCCTTAAAATACACATGCTTGTGAACAAGCAAATTAATTGATGAGGATGAGAGAGCCCAATGGAGTTGACTTGCCATGGAACTACCACCACCAACACTCCATATCCAATATTGTGGAGTATTGTGAGGCACTGTGGTGCCAGGCTGGCACCTTCATCCACAACCCTTCTGGTGCAGAATGAGTCTATAGTATTGAGCCTCTTCAGAACTTGCCATTTGGCACCCTTTGCACACAGAAGAAATCCAAAAGCCAAATACCCCCCCCCCTCTTTTCCCCTCCTCCTTATTTCTTCATCTTCATGTTATCCAGTGTCAAATCTCCTCAAGTTTTTTTCATGTGATTAGGAGATTCTTGTGTGGTGTTAATGCACACAATGCTCTAGTGCTGGCCATTGGCTGCAAGCAATGCAAAGCCCAGGAATGGGAAACAAACACATGAATGGCGGGGGGTCACAGGGGCAAAGGAGTAGATAAACAAGATATCACCCACCCACCAGGTGGCATGGTCCAGTCAGCATGCCAGTACACCATCTCCACACAGCCCCCCCTCCTTTTGTTAAGCCACTTTGGTGGAGGCAGGTCACTCTGTCCCCTTCCAGCTTTGCATCCAGAGGGGATGACTGCTGGTCAACCCCGTTCACACTGACATCCACAGGAGGAACCCATGCAGGTGGATGCCAAGTGGAGGAGTTGTGCAGAGGGAGGGGAGTGGGGGAGTGGGAACAAGGGCAAGGGGGGGATTGATGGGGGGGGGGGGGGGGGGGGGGGAAAGGGCCCTCCCAGGTGCCCCCTATGGAAAGGAGCTAAATTTAAAACCCCCCCTTTCCCCCCTGGGGGAACAAAAATTTGGGAACCCGGGGAAAACCCTAAAAAAATTATTCTTAGCCTCCTCCCCCTTCCCCTTAAGGGGAAAGGGCAAAACCCCCCCTGGGTGGGTCCCTCTTTCCCTCCCTTCCCCAAAAATTTGGAAACTCTAAAAAAAAAAAAATTGAATTCCCTTCCCTTTTGGGAGGGTTTTCCCCCCTGAAGGCCGCCCCTTTCAAAAGGGTTTCTCCCAAAACAAAAACCCTGGGGGTTTCCCCCCCCCCCCTGACTTAAATTTCAAGGGGGGAAAGGAAAAAAAAAAGGGTTTTTTTAAAAAAATGAGGGAACAAAAAATTTTAGAGAAAGAAAACCCACCAAGGAAAAAACGGGGGGGGGGGGGGGATGGTGCCATCCAGGTTGCTCCATATGGAAAGCAGCTAACTCTAAGACCCCCACTTCACCCCATGCAGCAGCAGACATTGGGAGACCAGGGCAAAGCCTTAAAGATATTATCCTCAGCCTCCTCCACCTCCACCTCAAGGGCAATGGTCATATCCATCCTTGCTTGCTTCCTTCTTTCCTTCCTTTCCCTACTATTCTGCAATCTCTACTACAGAGATATTTGATTTCCTTTCCTTTTTGTGAGGATTTTCACACATGAAGTCAGTCACTTGCAGATGTGTTGCTCACAGACCAGACACCTGTGGGTTTGCCCCCACCCCCTTGACTTAAGTTTCAAGTGGTGAAAGGAAAGAGAAATGGATATTTTAAAATAAATGATGAGACAAGAAGTTGAAGAGAAAGAAAACAAACAAAGAAAAAAACACTGTGTGTGTGTGTTTATGTATGTTTCATGAATTTCTGCAAGATATTAATCTGAGTTTCACAAATTTTGGAATGAAATTTATGAGTTTTGAAATGATTAAAGCAATGAACTTTGATGTAAGATGTATAAATATTATATCCTCCACCTGCATTGAAATAAATTCTACATGCAAGCTTTGCATTGAAGTGGGCACCTTGCATGTAGGATTTACTTCAATTCAAGTGGAGACTTACATGTGTAAGCTTGGCATGCATGCATGTATACATATATATAATAAATGTAGTGTAGATTTCAAAAGATCAAAAATGCTTTTGTAAGATATTTGTAAGATGTTTGTGACATGTTTTTAAGATGTTCTTACAAAAAAAAAACAAAATTTAAAAAATATAATTTATGCAACTAAATCAAGTCATGAAAAACAAGTTAAAAATTAATGTAAGACATGTATGTACATACATACATAGAAAGAGAGAATTTGCAAATCTAATGTCTAGGTAACAGCATGAAATCATAAACATAAATTCACTTGCACAAACATCTTTTTTTACTTTTTAATGCTACGTGGGAGCATACTAATTGTCCTAAATACACTTATTTATAATGTTAATATATATTTCACAGATTCAGTTGTTCAGTATGATTAATTTTTAAATTTACAGTTCTGTAATACTTTTATGTATCATGTGTTTTGTTCTTGATGTTGTTAGAGATTTTAAGATACTTTAGCCTATAGCAAAAACAACACTTTTTATTTTTATTTTTTTATTCAATGTTTTCAAAAGGTAAGCTAAAGCCATCCATTTTAAAAATAAAAATAATAGTTGAAAACCACATAATATTCGAACACATACAATATAAGAGTATAGTTCAAAAAAATTACCCCACATTGTGATATGCAAATACGAAAATTTAAAAAATAACTAATCTAAAATCATTATTTGTCTACTTATTATTATTATTACTACTACTATGATACAATAAAAAGAAATATTGGTTTAAAAATTGTAACCATTGTTCAATTCTGGAGAATAATACTTTACAATATAATGTAACAACAATAAGTTTCAGAAATAAAATAAAAAAAATTGAGTAAATTCTAAAAACTGAGTGAATTGATATAAATACTTATCCATTTTTTTTTTTTTTTATGTTTTATCAGGCATTCAGCATTGTTGATAGTGCATGATGTTTTGCATAAATATGAAGTATGTTGTTGTTTCCACCACCAAGCTGTAAATTGTATACATGTGAGTTTTTTTTTTTTTTTTTTTTTTTTTTTTTTTTAAATTCCCATTAATGACTAGAGTGCAATGTATTATTAGACTTAACTTGTAACAAGTAACTAAATTCTAGAGAAAAAAATAATTCATACACTCTCTCAAATTAAGTTATAAAATTTAATTGTTACTTGTATAATTCAAGTTTATTTACAAGCATATTGCATGCATATTGCTCCAGTTGCAAGTTGCAATTGTTACAGTTGTGTTACTAAAACCTATCATTTCTTCCTTGCCATCAATGGTAGATGTTATGATGGTAGAGTGGGAAGTGAAACCAAATGCAACAAAAAGATTGCAAAGATAGAATATTAAATGAATTGAAGAGTCTTGTCCTACACTAGACCATCATAACACTCTACACAAGATTAAAATAATTTTGTATTGGGATTTTTGCCTTTAAAACTTTCTCCATAACAACATCCTACTGTTTCTCTCCTCTTCTCAAGTAACATCCTTTGCATAGTTGTAGATAAAAATATGCAATTGATATGGCTACTTCTTTAATTTGCAATAGTTTCAAAACTTTGAGTCTATGGGTTTGTTGTTTTCATTGTTGTGAGTGATTTTTTCAACAAAATATTGTCAACCAACATTCTAAACACAATCTGGAGTGTATATGTTTCTTTTAATTTGTAATAAAAAACTACCAAAACAAGTTTTAAGATGCATACCATAACAAATATGAAAAAACAATAACATAACTAATATTTTAAAAAACTAATAGATAGTTTGTAATAATCAGTTTTTATTTTAAATGTTTGACTGCTGTATCAAGTTAAAATTTGATCAATTTCAATTGTTGTGAAATAATTTTACAAGTATGTATACAAAAAACATAAGATGCATTTGTTTCTTTTGTTAAATCATATGCAAAAAAAAAAAAAAAAAAAAAAAAAAATCATCTAGAAGCTTCTAATGCAATTAGGCAATATTAAGATGCTTAACTTCTTCTATTATTATACGCATATAATTTTATGTGAATTTAGTTTGAAAAAATTATTTGAATTATTGACAAAAAATGAGTTTTATTTTGATTTTTGATACACAAATTGTTTTACAAAAAATACAACTTAACAGTAGGTACTAAATCTGCATTTGATTGTTAGTGTTTTAATTAATTTATGAATACTTTCATCATGTTTGCATTTGATTGTAGGATAAAATTAATTGAATATCTTTTTAATGGTATTTTTTGCATAAAATATTATAGAAATTTGAATTTAGAGAACACATTTGTGATTGTAGGTATGGATTCTGTTGAGTACTTTCTATGTTACAACAAATATCTGTTATATATTTAGATATAAAAATAATTATCTCTCTCTCTCTCTCTCTCTCTCTATATATATATATATATATATATACATGTATCTTTATTTTTTCCCTGCAAAAAAGAAGTGACCAAAAAATATAACAACATTATTTAAATGAGTTTTCTGTAATCATCGACTTTCTTTTAATATAAAGCATATTATCTCATATAACCTTTTAAAAAAAAAAAAAAAAAAAAAAACTCTTATTCCAATCTTAATCATACTATTGATGCTTATTAAATTCAATCATATGTATATATATATATATATATATATACATTCATTCATGTGATATAAACTTTACAAATATTTTGAGCTTTACAAATACATGAACTTTACAAATATTCAGCTATTGATTTATGTTTTGTAATACATAATGATGTAACTTTTTTTTTCATGGGTTTGGAAGAGACCTTTAGAATAAAATTTTTGAAATTATATATGAATATAATTTATTATAATTTATTAATTTATAATTACTATATAATATATATATAGTAGTTAGCATTGAGCATGTTTTTTACATAGGATTGTAATTAAAAAAAGCTAACGACAAGGGGCCAACAAATGCACTGGCACTTATAACTTGATTATATAAATGCATTAATAGAAATAAACAATTAATTGGTAGTTTTTTTTTTAAGGGTTCAAATTGAAAAGTACTGGATCTAGTCCAGGCTGTCAATACCTGGGTAAGATGACGGTGCGAATCCGGGTATCAACTTATGCCACGGCAGGAAGAAAGTGCAATGGATTCAGCCGCTGAGCTGGTGGCTGGCTCACAAGGGCAAGAGGAAAGTCCTTACAGGGACCCACCACTGACCCCTTTTCCCTTTTGTGGGGAACAAGGAGGAGGGGGACCTGGGAACATGTGGTGGGGAGGGCATCAGCGAGAGGGTATCACCACGTCGGAAAGCGTTCCCACCGCAGCTCCCCCACGGTTTCTCGTGGACGTTTCTCGGAGGTTGAGTCGGGGAAGGCCGGAGATAGCGCGTGTGAACGCGCTCGGGGATAAATTGCCCCGACGGGTCCGTAAGGAGCGGCCAAGTGGCGCCCAGTGAAACCCCCACCAGCATGCACTCTTCGGTATCCACTTGCTTCTTTCATCCAACAACATCCTCTCCCTCGCTTTTACCATAGTCAACTCCAGTTTACGTTGAGGTTCAAAATATCCGCCATCCAATTTCATCTCGCCCTCTTTTTACTCGGGGTGAAAGACATGGTGAGACTGGAGTTCCTGATGCCGAAAATCTTGTCTCGGCTGTTGTTCGGGGAAGACCGGGTAGAGTGGGGAAGTTGGGGTGGCGGGTCTTGAAAGTTGCTATTGAAAGTATCAGGTCTTGAAGCAAGTCCACTTCCTTGACTTTTTTCCTGCAGTTCTGTATGAATTTATATATAGTAATAAGTTGGCTGTAATTTGCTTGTTTTGATGGGAATGTGGAGGAGGGATTTGTGGTTCTATCAAGAAGAAAAAAGGAGCAAGTTTTTCTTTTTTTCTTTTTTTTTTCTTTGTTCTGTGGGGTTTGACATGTATGACAAGATTTATGACAAGGTCTTCCAAGTGGGTGCACATTGTTTAATATTAATCTTGGTGTTTGGGGAGAATGATGATTCAGTTTTAAAGTTTGAGGCATTTTTTTTTTAAATTTTTTATGCAAGCCATCAGAGTTTTTCAGTGCAAGAGGAGGGATTTGTGAAGAGTGTGTTTAATTTATATTTTCTTCAAGTTCTGTGGTGTTTTATGGCAAATGGAGGGTTGAAGTTGTCACTGTGCTCAGCAATTAAGGCTAGATAGCAAAGAGGGGAAGATGTAAAATTTGGGGCAAGTACAGGGTGGTCGTAGAGCTCTCAACCTTTCACCAACACATGATGGGACGTTTCACATCATCTGAGCATGCATTTGTACAGAAGAATCAGAAGATATTTTAGTCAGACCCTCCAGAGAATCAGCAGTGGGGGGTTGTAGTAGGGGACTGATAGATAACTTGCCTTTAGAACTACATCCTCAAAACAGTAATCTCTGTATGTGATGCCTAGGAATCAAGGCTCAGGATCTGCATATGGTCTTCATGAAATTTCAGAATTGGAATCCTGGTCAAGTCAGCCCACCACAAAAACCCTGTTAGCAAATCAGCACAAATCATTGATTTTATTTTGTATTTTTATTCTTTTAGCCATTATTTTTATTTTTATATGCTAATACAGGCATATACTTGCACATCAGCATGTACACCACGAGGATATGAACTTTGAAAGCTTATCAGAATAGCAGCACAATGTGTTTATGATTTGTCAGGCTGACAGGATCAACCCTGTTATGAAACAACCAGGAAACACCGTGGATTAATATCCCAATTTGCTCATCCTCTGGGTTTGAATGGTGTTGTGTCCCAGAAAGCTGGGTGTTCATTGGTAAGGAGAGAGAGAGAGGGGGAGAGATCATCGGTGGAGTACTTACCACAAGCCTTCAGAAGTACTGCATGATACCCTGGACTGAAAACTCATTCAAGCCCCAGTGACTGGGCCAAATAGACACCTATTAGTGTACAACAATTCAAACAGTGGCATGTTGTGTGTGGAAACATGCGTAAGAGAGATGTTGCACTCAAATTGTAACAAAAGCAACTTGGACCTTACAAAAACGCAAATAACATGCTTCTAAACTGGACTGTCATGAAACAAGCTAGAACATAAGCATCAAAACAGTTTGGAGCACCATCTCTAAAACGGCGTTGATATAACCTACCAAGTTTGCTGTCACCAATCTCATCAGCTTACATGGATACTTGTGAACGTAACCAGTGCACGATTCAAACCACCCAACAGTGATACATTGAATTGCACAAAAGCTGTAGAATGTCTACCTGGATCTCGTCATTAACAAATCCTTTGAAAGTCGTGGAACACAGAAGGGCCTTTCTAAGACATCCTGACTTGTTGCAGGCAAGAGCTAGATGGCTAGTTTTATTATACCGTGAGCATTTTCGGACTCTGTCGAGAGAGCCATCTGACAATATGCAGCTTGAGAAGTTCTTTCATTCATTGCACGCATAGAAACAATACCAAAAACAATTGAGGAACAGGAAGGGTGAATAGAGAACAAGAAGCTGCGAGACACATACGGCACAATATGAGACGCTGTTGGGGATCAAAGTGTTGTCTTTCAACTTTCGAAGGTCGTGCTTAACTAGCAATTTATTCTGATAAAAGAATACCAAAACTTAATAACTTGAAGTCACCAAAAATTCATGAAGAATTCCTCACGTAGGATAAACCTCGACCAATCAGGTCCTCATTGTAGGTTTCAATTTCATAATTGAAACATACACGATATTCGGCCACCTACCCAAATGGATGATTTATTTAACAGAACCCCGCAGCTGCATCTGAAGAAGCAGCTAATCCAACGTTGCACGGGATGCAATTGCCGCCGTGCAAAATTCATTGCCGTGACACCTCGAAGACAATGGGATATGCACTTTCTGTGTTGAAGTGAGCAGAAACGATGTGTCTAAGATGGTCCCAGCATTTTCTTTGGGTCAACCCACTCATCGAATTCCTCAGATGTAAGGTAGCCAAGTTCCATTGCGGCTTCCTGCGTGATACGAATGGACAACACAGTTACCGTAATGGTAAAGAAAAACAAACAAAACGAATCTCACGACTAACAAAATTATATCAAGAACTCAAACGAAATGTCTATACAAACGTAGTTCTATAAAAGCAGATATGTAGAACGTCATTTGAGAAGACCAACTTTGGTGATACTGTCATACACGACAGTTATCACAAATAAAAGCAGTCTATTCGTAGAATGTCGAGACCCCAGGCTTTTCAAAATAAACACCAATATTACGGAAACAACAGCATGCATATATAAATTTTGTTGATTGCAGAGCACAATACGAAACGCGAGATCTTGCCTTCAGTGTAGTTCCTTCTTTGTGAGCTTTCTTGGCGCACGCTGCGGCCTTGTCATAACCAATTTTCTGCCCAATAATAGAACATTCAAAAATGTCAGATGCAAAACGCATGTACCCACCTACACTACCTTACAAGACAATTCTACACAATGAAATTCCCTTTTACAACAATAACAAATGCCCGTCTAGCTAAACCAGCAAAAACCTGAGATTACTTACCGGATTGAGCGCAGTCACAAGCATCAGGGACTATGATTTCCCACCAGCCAACCCACAACACGTTTGAGCAGTGGAATGATATGAGACTCAAAGCACATACTACGGAGAAAAAACAAAAAAGACGGATCCTGCCCAGCCCCATACTTCAGAAAGGTAATGCGCAATGAGTAAAAGCTGTAAATGAAATGAAATCATGTTACAACAAGGCCGATTACACGAAAGAAAAACCAAAAGATAAAGCTAAATTTGTATCTCGAAGAAACATACCCTCCGCATCAGATTATCAATATGATTGCGGTTAGCTTCAATGCCCACAACACAATTCTTCCTGAAAGACTCTGCAGCGTCTCCAAGCAACACCATTGACTGCAGAAGAATCCCACTACCATCACTTAAGTAATATACACCCCGCTAGTCTACAAGAACTTGGGCCCAACGGATGTAAAGTTAGATACGCATGCAGAAATAAGTTCTCTCACTGTCCCGTAACAATTAAGGGGCTAAAGGAAATAATATACCTGAAGTAACGCGTTGATCATGACAGGCTTATAAACGTTCAATTCAAAATGCCCGTTAGCGCCTGCTACTGTGATGGTGGTGTGATTACCCATAACCTGTATTACAAATCAGGTTTTGATCGACGGCCAAAATGCAATTAAATACGATAAAAGAATAGATCCATCAAGATCAATACTTCAGATTTAATTAATTGAGAACAATACTCAAAGAAATTATCTTTAGGCGAAAGTGATGAAAAGTTACCTGACAGCAGACCATTGTTAAGGCTTCGCACTGTGTAGGGTTAACTTTTCCCTGCATGAATCCAAAACCCACATCCGTTTTAAGCTGAAAAGGACCTCACAGTCACAAAGGCAGAGGTAGGTCTTATTTTCCATCAACTGTAAGTACTGCTAAGACATGAAAGAAATACAAAGATTCAAGATTGGCAGGGTCGGCCAGTACAGGCATTATACTGCTGCCAGGTTCGTTCTCCGGTAGGATCAACTCATGCAGTCCACATCGAGGTCCACTGCAGAATATTGATTGAGGATGTTACTGAATGACCACAAGAAAGCCAAAAACCGTCGGAGGTACAGCAAGCCTCAGAAAAGAAAGAGTGACAACACTAGCAGCACAAATTATTTGAAGCTACATGAGACTTGCCATTACTTCTAAAGAGGTCAAGCAACTGAGCAGTTTGTATAAGCCTAATGGACATGTCTATATTTAAAATTACCCTCAAGGTTTTTAGAACACACGGCCATTTAGGTCAAAACAGATGAACTACGTTGTTGCATGTGACGTAACTCATGCAGCGTTGTACAGAAACAACGCGCAGTTTCTGTTTGTACAGCTGTGTGAAGATGCGGCAAAAACACCATAGACAGCAATTGTCATAAACCTCCTTCCATAAGCGAAGGTTGAAACCAAGTTGATCTTACCTTCCCAATAAACGAATGTCGTTTGCAATCTTCATGAGAGAGACAGCAACAGTATTGAGCGCACCACTGCATTCTACAATAGCGTCATGAGCTGCCTGCGTAAACATGTGGCAACAGAATCAACCGACTCTGCACCAAATATGTGCTCCACAAAGTCGAGGATTACAAGCCTTATTAGAACAGACCAACAGTAGAGCTCGTACCAATGCCTCAAATTTGTTAGGTGCTGTCACGAATGGCAATCCTGTCTCTTTCGCCACTTGCGCTGCAAATTTCGTATCAAATCTGCAAGTTCATTGTGAGGAATAAAACCACAAAATCTAGTCATGATAAAAAATCGTTGCCACTGACCAACTTGCACAACATAACAGTAAGAAAATGAAGTGATAGTTCTCCCATTCTGTAATTCCAAAATCAGTTTGTACAGCAAGCTTTCAAGGTACTGAAGTACAGCATAAGCGATGTCGTACCCTTTCTTCGTGTTGAGACCAGTTCCCACAGCTGTCCCACCTTGCGCCAGCTGCAAGGATGCTCATACAAGCTGACCTCAGTCCCGAATTTTCGTGCAACGGGTTATTTAAGTTGATCGATTAAGGAAGCAGAAAATAGAAAAACCACCACTAAGGCACACGTCAAGAGAATGCCATTTTCGATACAGCTGAAGTAGAGATGGTATAAATGCAGAATTCAAACCTGGTAAAGGCGAGGAAGGGTGTTCTCTATCCGATTTATTCCATATTGTACCTTCGTCAGACAACGTAATGAGAGTCAAATATTCTGAAATGTTTCTCACAATTTGATGAAGGAAAATACCAATAATAGCTACCAGAGAACAATGAACAGGAATAGTCGTACCTGTGTGCAATAGGCACTAAAAACTTGTCCGAGAGTGATTGGGACAGCGTCTTGTGTGTGTGTGCGACCAATCTTCACAATGTCATTGAACTCATTTTGCTGTCAAGCACCAAGATAACAAACTTTAAACCAATATTATCTAAAATCTAAGCTGATTGATATCTAGCCTGGACAAGTATGTCCAAATCTGAAATTAAAATAATAGCAATGCGATATTCTTGCCCAAAAAGACTTACTCAAATAATACAAACACAATCAATTACATATAACCTCTTGCACAAGGAGAAGTGATGGAGTTGAAAACCCGAGCATACACAATTGATGCGTATAAGCAACGTTACATCCATTAAAAGTAATCCAAATCCTAACAACCACATATTCTTTACAAACCGAACCAATCGACATCACCGAAGGCTGCATATAGAACTCATCACTGAAATTCCAGCAGCGGATAAAACTTTGTGGCAACATATTTCAGTCCTGGAGGATGGTTACCTTTTGAATCAGAGCTTCATGTAGACCTCGCAAATGAGGAATCAGCCTACTGCTGGCCTCTCTAGCAGCTGCAATATGCATCGCCTAGTTACGGCCCAACAGAAATCAAATCAGAATTATTTATGAGCAAAAAAGAAAAAAAGAAAAAAAAAGATGCACAATAGAATATACTTGGTCTCTATGCTCAGACAACCAGGAAATGGAATAATTACATTACTAAATCTATCCGAAATCCAATCAAATAACAAGAGCCACTTCCCGGTAATAGCTCGTAAACTTCCATAGGACAGGCGAACATGATAACAGGAGGGATAGAAACAACGTAAGCCAATACTATTGTAAAGTTTTCAAAATAAAGACGTACATCCGTCATGAATAGGGAGAATACACCAAATGCAACCAACAATAGCTGTATGTTGAGAAATCGGAATACGTTGAACATACAGCTACCATACAGCAACCATTTACATAGAATAGCATCAGAAGGTACGAAATCGTGACAAGAGTATGGCTACCGACCGTAGGAAAGGTGTCATTTGAAGACTGACTCATATTGACGTGGTCGTTGGGATGGACCCCTTTGCTGCCAATGGGAATGCCAAGAATCTCACCCGCACGATTTGCAATCACCTATTCAAGCACATGAAAGAGCCAAAATGACTAAATGAATTGTACGCCACCTGTTATTTAGATGATGTTCTCGACTTCTGAATGATAGGCGAATAACAGTAGAGCACAGTAATCAATATTATCAAGCTCGCAGTACAAGTTGGGAAGTACCTCATTAGAGTTCATGTTGGTTTGAGTGCCGCTGCCCGTTTGCCAAACAACAAGTGGAAAATGGTCGGTCAACTTTCCTTCAGCTACTTCACTAGCCGCTTTTACGATGGCTTCCCCATATTTCTTGTCCAGACCATATTCCATGTTCACCTGCCACCAATCACAACAATGCAGCTCAAATGACCATCATAACATACCTTCCCACGTCCGAAAACGTGCACACAAGCAGGCCTTCGTAGTATGACATCAGAGGCAATACTTCAAAATAACAACTTCTGAGTGAAAGAATTAAGAAAGCAATCGTGCTAGTGCCTGCTAGCACAAAGAAGAAATCTCAGAACAAATCAACGAAACCAGGACAGCCCAGAAATTACAATGGCTGCAGCCTTCTTGAGAATGCCAAGCGCCTCAACAAGTTGTTTCGGCATCCGCTCCGATTCATCGCCTATCTCAAAGTTTTGCACAGACCTCTGCGTCTGAGCTCCCCAGTATCTGTCCATCACAATTCCAAACAACTACTAACCACTTAAACCCTAGACCATTACATCCCTCACCTGATCAACGTCCTTAAAAAAATAGTGTAATCAATCTGCAAGCTCGCAGCACATCACCACTGACCAGAATCTCATTGTAACCACCGAGGATACAATGCAGTTCCAATCACGCTCGATCGATAACCACAATGAAATCCAACGAGCGCAATCCGAGGAACAAAGTATTCGACAACATCAACCAGACGTACCGATCATCGGGGACTTGAATGGGACCGAAGGTGTCGCGCTCTTCCCTGAATCCACCTCCTCGCGTGAGAGAGCGAACGAATTGCAAGGAAAAATCGCGCGAGACGGAAGCTGTCGAAGTTGAGGAGGCCTGCAGCATACGCCGCGCAGACGCCATCTTAGTGAAGGTGGCCATTGCGACTTCCACTTCAGGCGAGCAACAAAGAGCGAGCGAGCGAACAAGCTCTTGAGCCTGGTGCAGCTCTTGAGCCCGCCTTCTCCTTCTTCTGCCTCCCGCCTCCGTCTTCTTCTGTCCAAATTTCGGTGCCGCCCCGTTCAACCGATCCCGGTGGATGGATGTGGATGTTGGTTGTATTGTATGGATGATATTGTATTTCGTTCATCTTGTGGGCTTGGATGAATGTGGAGTATTTTCTGTTCACTGACTTAGTGGACAGAGAACAGAAAAATATTTTTATCTTTATTTTTTTCCTCAATAAAATGCTTTGTTATGTGCCCATACTCAAATTCTGCTGTATAAGAATAATTGCTTCTTTTTTTTCTTCTTTTTTTTCTTCTTTTTTTTCTTCTTTTTTGTGACTTGTAAGTGGAATGAAAGTTGTCATTTACATTTGATAATGTGTGTTTACTATGATAGGCATGATTTTGGTAGTTAAGGAACTCATTAGAATTTTGTAGTAATATTATTTTGTAATAATATAATTTTGTAGTTGATTGCAAAAAGGCAACACTATTTAATACATGATGATATTTTTATGTTCATTATGTATAAACTTAAAAAAAAATAAAAAAATAATGCATGGATTGATCAAATTTAAAATAAAGCTAATTTTTATTTGTCACTGTACAAAAAATATAAACATATAAAGGTTAAAGCAATCATTACTTAGAATTGTGCTTTTTTTTTGGTTTGTTTTTGTTGTTGGAATTTTAATATATTCTAAAATAAGATACTCGAATGCACAAATTTCCTGTTTTCCACGTGATTTTTTTCTTCTTAAATTAACTTAAAGAAAGTAATATAAATACAGTTTTAATTGATTTTCAATATTACCAAATATAGAATTTATTTTTTACTCATCAATTATATATATATATATATATATATCAACTTTTTAGATTTAACTTTACATAAATTTTATTTCATTTGAAATTTTGATTCTAAATGACCAATTATGTTTTTTTTTTTCAATTTTTAGACTTATAACTATTGTTTATATTGCAATGCATATTAGTCTATGTAGAGTTACTCATCAATATTAAGAGAATTACAAAAACAATTTGTTTAACATCACAAACTGTAAAACTCAATTTTTTTATTTTTTTATTTATAGTTACAGATAACGTACATTTTTTTCTTGTTATATTTCAATGTTAAAAAAATAATATTTAGATAAATTAAAATATAATTTTAAAGAAAAACTTTAATATATGTCTATAGAAAAAGATTTGTACTAAATATCAAATGTATTATATTTAATTCAACAGAAATTATCTGATAATTTATTTAAATATTTAATTGTAAAAATTGTGAGAAAACATTTTTTCTATTCATTATTATAAATTTATAATTATTATTAACACTAGTTAATTGAACAATCCAACTCCTTTGCAATCATAATATACTCACAACAATAGATTGGAGTAAATCAATGGAATTAAAAGTATGTGTATTTTTTAAAAAAAGGAAAAAAATAATAACAAAAATCACAAAAATTCTGAATGTATCTTTAAATAATGGTAAAGTCATAAGTTTTTCTAAATACTAATATTATCTTCCAAAATACCTTTTTATTTTTTAAAAATTTTAAACTTGAATAACAAAAAGAAGTTCAATGACATTTCTTATTATGATTTTTATAATACTATATATATATATATACACACACACACACACACATATATATATATATATATATATATATATATTACAAGTACTACTTGTGGTTAATCATATTGGATTTTTAAAAACAATTCAGAAGTTTTTTTTTTTTTTTTTTTTTTTTTAATGCTTCTAGAAATGTAATTTTGGCTATGTTTAATAAAAAAAACACAATTGGTCTCAATTTTGCATGACATCAACACAAAATACCATCATCGAATTGTGTTATGTATCATCTTTCTGACTTATTATATTAAGACATTAACATAACATTTATTCAAATGCATTAGACATAATTTTTGAATATTCAAAACTTGCATATCTGAGTTCTGTCTAACACGTTATTACATTTGTTGAAAAATACATTCCTATAATAAACGTTTTCAACCCATGGTTGTACATTTTGTGATTGCATGGATGTTGGGTTGGGCACTGAATGTAAAAATAAAAGTACGTGACTTATGAGTGTGACTAGACACCAAAAGTAATAGTAAATCAAATAATAAAAAATATATAAATAGTTTCACAACTTTAAAATAGTTTAAAATCATGGGAATGCACACTTCTGAAGGCGTGTCACAAAAGATTCAATTAAGTTGCTTTGCATTCTGTAACCTTTGACGTTGTAAAAATGAAAATTGAAAATGTCCAAATGATTAAGTAGATTTAGTTGACAAACTAATCATTTTGCCATGTACACTATATGCTACATCTGCTCTGGAGGAAAAAATATGTAAGTACATCTTTAATTATATATATATATATATATATATATAAACAGTTGAATAGTATTGTTAAGCATTGAAAAAGCTTCCAAAAAGATTAAGAAGATTCCTAAGTTTGTTACTTTTTACATAGAAATTGAGTAGCTTAAGAAAACGGTAGATAAGGTAAATAAATTCCTGGGTGAAATGTTTGGGGTTTAATAAAGTCTGAGTTTCAATTTTCTGTCAGAAGTCATTGTATAAAACTGAAAATAAAATAAAAGTATTATTACTTGTGATTTAGAATAGATCACAATTTACTAGTTAAGATTTACATATAGCATTATTTATTTTATTTTATTTTATTTTATAATGATAATTGAATAGTCAAATGTACTCTAAATACCAAAAATATAAATTAGATTTCATACGACTGAAAAATGTTATATACTTTTGTTTATATTACTACATGAAATCATATTTTTAGAAAAAATACATGAAAAGATCAGTCATTAAGTTTGAATTCCAAATAAGTATGCTAATAACAACCTTAAATTCATATTTACTAATATTTTAAAAAACTGAACACATAATCAAAAATAGAAATCCGCATCTTTATTTCTAGGTATATGTGACGCAGCAAGAATACCAATAGTTCATTGATGAAAGATGGTATAATTTTAAATATCTCCTAAAACCTCAAAGTTTCAAAATCTATAGTTTTAAATAGAGCCGAGAACAATATAAAAAAAATATAAGCATCTTTTTTAGTGCATAATTTTTAAGATTTTTCAAACTATTATTTAAATGGTGGTTAATATCTTCAGCAACACAACCACTTGTTATTATAAAAAAGACCTTTGAGAATTTAACCTTTGAGAATTTAAACATGCAAAAAATAATAATTTCCTTCAAGGATGATGTATAAAGAGGTTTAAAACGCACAATGTGATTCATAATATCCTTTTTCGTTTTCAATCTAATTAGAAATTCAAAATTTTAATTCTTATTACATTTTTGTCTTTTAACATAGTTAGTGTGTTTGAGTTTTGTATTCCTTTCTCCCTTTGTTCTCTTTTGCCAGCTAAGTGTACATGCAAAAAAGCATATACCTCTTTATTCCCTGTTGCCTCTTTTATGCCAAACTTTTTTCTGGATGGGCCATCTATTCTTTTTTTTGTCCCTTTTTTTTTATTATTTTTAAATCGAAAGAAAATTTAAAATAATAATTTTAGCTTGCAAGGTGCAGCCCAACGAACATACCTCAACCCTTTTAAAAAAAAAATAATGCACCAAAAGCTCACTCATGGGATTCCCAGAGTAGGCAAAAGAGGAAGAAGCATTGGCCATGATTTTAACCCATTGCCCAACCAATCATGGCTTGTGATCCCATATCAAAACAAATAATAACAATCACAATTCATTTTCTAAAGGATACATTCTTTCTTTCCTTGTAAAGAAATGCAACATTGTATAAAGCGCAAAGTAAAAAAGAAAATAAAGTTATGAATAAATAAATAAATCAATCAATCAATAATAGAGGAGAGGCTCACATCAATCTATTTGTTGTGTGGGCACATTTGTTTGTTAGTTGATGAAGAAGAACACACCTGTCTAGGATTAGTACATGGAAGATATTAAGAACATGCTTAAAGTGTCAGTTTAACATTCTATGGAAACCTAGAGAAAATTTACGAAACTTATGTAGCAATACACACTTTTTACATGTTTTTTAAAATCTTTCCTTCAATATTTGAATGCATTGATATGTTTTCTACTACACAAGGAAGTCATACGAAGATGTAAAGGAGCTCAATCAACATACTCAAGGCCCACAAACTCATCAAAAGCAACAAGGGCCCATCAATTGTGACCATTGGGGATGGACCCAAACTCAATACCCCTCCTCATTGCATAGTCTCAAATAAACCAAAAAAAAAAAAAAAAAAAAAAAAAAAAAACACACACGTCAACGAAATAAAATAAAATAAAAAACAACGACCCTTATAAAAATAACCCACATGTAGTTATCCGAAACGCACTCACCGCAACCCGCAGGATAAAGAAATCGAGAACGGGCAGCAGAAAGAAAAAAAGAAAGAGGGGGCATGGAACGAAGTTCCCAGGGGCTTGTTCCCACACTCTCATGCTTCGTCTCTCTCCCAGGGCAGGGCAGGGCTGGGCTTGGCTTCGCTTGGCTTCGCTTGACTTGGCTGTGCTTTGGAGTCTTGTTCGTATTCTTCGCAGCCCTTTCTCTCGTAGCCTTTCTCTGCACCTCTTCCCCTTCCATATCCCCGCCATTGCCTTCGTTGCCTCCCACTTCGTGGACGTCGTCATCGTCCTAGGTGACTGTGTTACTGGAGCTGCACGGGGCGGGTTAGGAGGCGCTTTCGCGGGGGCTGCGAAGACACTGTGTGGAAGTGAAGAGTGGAGGAGGAGGAAGAGAGAGGAGGATTTGAAGTAGGAAGGAGGAAGAGTGAGGGAGAAAAAACGGTGGAGAGTTGTAGGGGGAGCTTTGCTGGCCAGGTGCGTTGGATTGAGTGGATGTGAGAGGATTTTGCGAAGGGTCGGAAGGGGTGTTGATAGTGCCAGGTGTTTTAGAAGCCTGGAGGTGCGGAGGCAATGTGTTGGAGCAGTGAATGTCGAGACCAGGCGGAGGGGTGGTGCCAACGGGCGGGCGCAGGTCGTTGGTGTTAATTTGAAAGGGGGGATACTGGACAGGGGAGCCGAGGTGTGGTGCTGGCCATGTTGGTAGTCTTAGTGCGAGGAGGAGGAGGCGGAGGACTCTGTGATTGTGTCGGGGTTGTGTTGGAATGATCGGGAGCGATGGAAGGTAGGAAGAGGAAGGGTTCGGGGTTTGATGACCTTGATTGAGTGGCGATTGAGTGGGAACACGAACATTTGTCAATGTGGTATGATCTCTTGCCTGTTTTCATCGATATCGTGCTGGTGAGGAGCTGATGGATATGCTTATGGCCGTGGTGAAGTGATTTTTTTTTTTGATACGATCGGCAACGTGAGGGGGATACTATTGGCATGACGTGCGCTTGGTGGTGATCACTACAGTCTAAGACGATCACTTTGCCGTTTCTTGTGCTCTGTCTTCTGCCACAGTGTAGGGCTTGGCTTCTGTATATAGATCTTGCCAGTGGATGCTTTGCATGGCCATTGTTATCAACATCCACGGTATTCCCGTTGCGCCGATTTAACTCAGAGCTTTCCAAACACGCTCTATTGCCTCTGCTGCGCTCTCTGGCACTGCTCGGTTGCCTGCATCGGACCAACGAAGTGCTGTGGCATCCATGAAAGCATTTTCTATCTTGTTTCTTATTTTGAGTATTCGGCTTTATGTTTCGGGTGTCCTTACGACAGGATGATTGTGGGAGAATGGGGCACCGACTGTGCTCTGTTGTCTTGTTATTTTTGTTACTCTGATAAATGAAGTGGACCTGATATTATTCTTACAAATGCTTTTGATATCTGGTACCTCAAATAGGTTACTAATCCAGGAAACCTACGTCGTATTAGGGTTTTCCGTTCACGTGTTTGTACTAGAGCTTTCAAAGCGCTTAATCTCTATGACGGTATGATACTTCGCAATTTCCCGGGGCGAAACGTTCAATTGTCAATGAGGTTCTACTACAAATGCGAGAAATCGATTGACTGGAGTACACTCAAGTTATTAGAGTACTCCGACGAACTCTGAACTCGAGTGATCGGTTCTAAAACCTAGAATTTCTTAGAAACAACGGTCATTTTAAAAGCGAGTGTCATGATTGGATTCATGCTAAAGTCGTTTGCAGCAGAATTTCAATTGCTAATGATTACTTTTCTGTGGCAATGACTTTCTCTGAGTCTTTAGGTTGGGGTATTGGAGTTTTCTGCAAGACATCATTAGTGTTTTGGTCGTAAGGTACAGTTGTTTCTCGTGAAAATGTTGAGCTTTATTGGAGGTGATTTAAGCCTTAGTGATGCATGAAATCCTTCTCTGCCGAACTGCCCGAATATTGGTTCTAGTTGCGCCAATCTTTCAGAATCACATGCTGTTATTTAGTTGGATGCTTATTAGGTGTCAGGTTACTGACCTTGAAGTTATGCTGTTTTCCCAGCAACTTGGCGAATGTAAATGTGGAGCGTTGAGGAGCAGCGCAGGAACAGGCATATGTTCTATGTAACAGAATTTTTTGATTCAAAATCTTGCAAAACGACAATTACACATTGGCAAAATGAAGCGAGCTTACAAATTACGTATCCTAGTGTTTCTTCATCTCCTGCATTCTCTGTTGAATTTATTCTAAAATTCTGGCACTCGGTATCGAGCCTCACTTTCGCATATATCTTCTCTGTCTGTTGAACAGTTCACACTCTTCTGCCAGACCTATTACCAGTGGATTTTTGTCATTACTCTACTTCAACGTGAGGGTTTATGCCGGGAAATTTATCTTGCTAATAGAAGTAAAATATCATGATTTCGTATTTCAACTGTGATTGTTGTCATTTCGTCTCGATGAAGTTGCTGTGGTCCAGATCATGTTCCTTGACTACTAGATTGCAGAGGAATTTGTTGCGCACGCGTCCGATGTCAACTGCCTCAAAATTGGAAAGAAGTCCTCCAGGGTCCTGGTCACGGGCGGGGAGGATCACAAAGTTAACATGTGGGCTATTGGCAAACCTAATGCTATACTGGTATGCTCGACCTTTTCCATATTTGCATTGTCTGTCGTATCCTTTCGTTACGATGTCGTCATGGCCAGTCAATGACGTAGCTAGGTTTGAATTTCGAATTTTTCTTTTGGTGTTTCTTAAAATGCATACCTGGACTCCCTGTGTTTCCGTTTATTTCAGTAGTAGAGCTCTAGATACAGAATAATAAGATAAGTTCCACTCCGGGCACGGTTGGTCTGGCATTTCTATTGTAATGCACAAACAAGTGGGTTGGAAACTCGCACTTAAGTCAACTTTGGATGGGCTTCTAGAGTTTGGCAGGTCACACCAGTGCAGTGGAATCGGTTACTTTTGATACAGCAGAGGTTGTAGTCGTCGCCGGAGCTGCAAGTGGTACCATCAAACTTTGGGACCTTGAAGAAGCTAAAAGTAAGCTTGTTAGAGCTTTCTCTCTCTCTCCTCCGGTCCAAGTATTACATGATTAATTTGAGTTTCTATTCCATGGTTTGTGTGGTGTGCACGTATTCATTCTAGATCATGGATGCGATGCTTCGTACTTCTAATCAGGCAAAATTTTAGATCTTACTGACATTTTTATACCTGGGTGCAGTTGTACGCACTCTTACAGGTCATCGATCAAATTGTATATCAGTAGATTTTCATCCTTTCGGAGAGTTCTTCGCGTCGGGATCTCTAGATACAAATCTCAAAATATGGGACATTCGGCGAAAAGGATGCATCCACACTTACAAAGGACACACGCGAGGCATTAATTCCATCAAATTTAGTCCAGATGGGCGTTGGGTGGTTTCTGGGGGTGAAGACAATATTGTGAAAGTGCGTTTTCTTGAACACACTATTCCTTTCTCTGTTTACCTTTATTGAGTATGAAGAGTATCTGGGGACAAATGGGGCTGAAGAACTTGTTTTCTTTGTGAGATGATGATTTAAACTTTCCTCACAGTAATGTTACGTTTTTGTGAATGTCGTCTTATTATTGAGATTTCTTTTTGGACGTTGATCATTTGTAGGATTTAAGTGCTGCTCGTGTATTTATGTTCAAGCAGTCCAAGAATTTTCTGTTAATTTCGTGTGTTGGAAGCGTGTGATATATATTTCCGTGATATGTTCTGTTTGTATGGACGTTGGTTGAATCGATATTGAATACTGACCTCAATGTCATATTCTTGCTATACCGGATTTGGTTTTCCTGTGGTGTATTGAATTTTGATTAGCTTGGGTTGTATGCTAAAAAATTTCATCCAACTTGTCTGCTGCATATTGCAATATTGTAGGTGCTAAGGTACATGTACTCAGATGCGGTCGTCGGCTAGTTGTTGTCCAATTTGCTTCTGAAGTTAGGATGTTGTTCTGCTTAAGATCATTAAGCTTGGTTATTTGTGTCTCCACTGTTCTATGTGAAGATTTAATCTTTCTTAGAGATTCAAGCTGTAGATAGCTTGCGGTAACTGATGACATAGTGTATATATGGCAGCTTTGGGATTTAACCGCTGGGAAGCTAATGCATGATTTCAAATATCATGAAGGACAAGTCCAATGTCTGGACTTCCATCCTCACGAATTTCTTCTTGCTACAGGTAGGCTTTCTGTGCTGCTGTTCTGGACGTTTTGAATTGCCTCAGGATTTGCAGTTATATCTTTCTTTGATATGCAGATGCTGGTTCAAACGTTGGTTTGTTTTCCTGGCACGGATTGTGCGCAACTTCAATTAAAAGTTGTGTCAGCACGTACGATTTAGAGACCATTATATTTGTGGTCTTTGCATTCTTATCTATATTAGCTCTTGTTTTAAGTCAAGGAAAGATCAAGGGAAGTTGGTGAAAATCTGTTCTTGGTTAGAAGGTGTACCACTGCTCACAAATTAACGTTTTAGTGCGAAGTGATGTAATATGTCATTGTGGTGCATTTGGTGCTTTGAAAACAGGTTCCGCAGATAGGACAGTCAAATTTTTTGATCTCGAAACTTTTGAGCTCATTGGGTCTGCTGGTCCCGAAGTAAGCTTCTCGTTTTCATAAATGAATCATGCGCTTGCAGCTATGATATTATCTATAAGCTATAGCTGCCTTGTAGAATCTGATGGAGCCAACTCCAAATCTCTGAAATTTCATGAAATATTAGCGTGTTAATTTCATCCCTGTTATCTTTCGAACGTTCTTACTAGTAGCTGATAGTTGATGATTATCCTGAAACGGCGGTATTTAAATATCGGTATACCCGTTATTCATGAAATTCAAGTAACTTAATCACACATTTAGAATATTTGTGTCACCTATTCAATGTGCAGGGCTACGTTTTTTCTTATGAGTTGTGATGTACTCATTTAATTCTGTCTGGACTGGTTGTATTTTTGCATGTCTATGTGCAGTCTGCAGGAGTGCGATCTATGGTTTTTAATCCAGATGGACGAACTGTATTATGTGCTATGCAGGATAGCCTGAAGGTGAATTTTTGTCTTCATTTGGGACCTGCCTTTATTAGGACGTTGTTAATGTTTGCTAGGCTGTTCTCATTTTTGTTATTAGCTTGATTTTTTTGACTTTGCCATTGCTAGTGAAAAGCACATCGTAGATTTTGTGCATGGAGCTTATTTTTTTGAAACTAGTTAACTATGTTCCTAATTGTTACGAAGTGAACCATAATGCAGGTTTTCTCTTGGGAACCGCTCAGATGTCACGATTTAGTAGACGTTGGCTGGCACAAGCTTGCGGATCTCTGTATCCACGAAGAAAAGTTGCTCGGATGCTCTTTTAACCAGAGTTGTGTTGGTGTATGGGTTGTAGATCTCCAGGTGCATCTCCCTGTATTCATGGTTATGGTTCATTCTTTTTCATCTGCAACTTTCCAATTTCATTTTTCTAATTTGCGGAGAACTTTATCTCCATGCTTCTTAAGGAGCCTTTCTCTGCTTTTGATGTTTGACGTTGCCGTATTGACTTGGACAATCTGTGTGCGTAGCGTGTGGCTCCTTATCAGAATGGGAGTGCAGGGTGGAAGGATGGTCCAAGCGTTGGGTTCAAAGTCGACAACGACGGCAACCAAACTCCACAAGAAGTGCGTTCTGTCTCACACCCCAAGACAGATGCTAGTGCGAGTCTTCCTCACATGATTGACGTGACAATGAAGAATGTGAAAATCACCCCTGCTAAAGGTAAGCTATCATACTATCAAATACGTCTAGTGTCATTTACTACAAATGCAGCAAATTTTCAACCAGTCTCGTGCATTAGCAGATCATGGGTTGCCCAGATGAGCTTTCAGTTTGTTGATGTGTTTTGTATCTATTTCAATTTTGATACAACATTATTTAATGAATTCTTTTCCTTATTGATAATTTATGTCTGGGTTCTAGTTGAATGTAAGGGTTCTTCAGACGACAAGATATTGTGAACTTTTCCGTTCGCTTGTCTTGTCTTACAACACCTGTTTGTCATAGCGTATCAAATCTTCAGAATCCGTCTTATACGCTTTTATTTTGTTTTATTTTATCTAAATATCTTCTTGGTGATTTTATAGTATATAAATTACATCAACCTGTTCTTTAACATCTGCAGAAACAAGCAGCTCTCACCCCCCTCAAACTGCACCAAACAGTGGTAGAAGACCTGCAAATATCCTTACCACGGTTCCTGCTACTCCAACACCTACTATAGCCTCTCGTAGAAGTAGTATTGCAGCGCCTAAGGCGACTCCACCCAGTGCAAGCTCATTCAGATTTTCTAGCCGATCTGATGCCAATGCGGGAGGTAGCCCAAGACTATCGACAGCTTCTGACTGTGAGCCTGGATTGGATGATACAAGGCCGACTGTAACCGCAGGTGGAGTGTCGATGTCAACATCTAAATCACATGATCGTGATTTAGATAACGTTGACGGGAACGGTGATGGCGCTAGTGATGCTTTTAGGACGGATCCTATTCCGCACGTGAATAGGTCAAGCTCAGCCCGTAGGCCAGATAGCAGTGGTCACGGCTCGGCATCTCAGTATGGAAGCAGGTCAAACCTGATTTCTCATTTGGGTACCAAAGAAGACGATGCAACTGTCAACTGGAACGGCAGCAGAAGTTATAGTTCTAGAAGGAGTTCATCTTTTGATGTTCCTTTGGATAACAATCTGGGTCGTTCTCATTCCTTTTCAGGTTAGTTCTGTTTCCTTGAATCCTGTCATGAGTTTGTGATGCACTTTTTTCGATGAAATTCTGTTGAAGTTCCTGGCTTGCGGGCTTATGAAATTGACTTCTTGATTGAAGATATTGACGGAACGATTCAACATGTTCATCTATAGCTCTAGTAGCACCACTATCGTATAAAATATACCTTGATTATATTCCAGTAACCTTTAAAACGTGCTTATGTTCAAAGAGTGAAAATTCACTTACACTCTGTACACTTGCAGATGAATCATCTCGTAACCAGGCTACTAGAAATGCTACAGGAACTGAGGCATCCACGACAGGTACAGATCTCATGGACCTGAGGCGGATTTTAGTTTTAGTCAAGATATAATGTAGGAATGGTCAATCATGGTCGGTTTCATGCTTGTGTGTCCTAGATATCCCTGAATGTATTTACAAGATTCTCTTTCTAGTGTACAAACGTGATGTCTCTGATGATTTGTTTGCGACTGCAGGATTTTCATAACACCTATGCCTGTTGAACTCGATCCATTTTGTGGCTCACTAATTCATTTTTGGCAGGACGTGTTGAAGTTGGGACGACTAAAGCTCTTCTTGCCCAATGGGAGAGGAAAGAGAAGCCGAGGCTTCCAGAAAATTCAGCCTTTGTAGAAAAACCGGTGGTTGTGGAGAAGTCAATGCCTGAACCCAGGTCATATGTTGTGGAGAAGTCGGCTTCTCATGAGGCGCCAAGTGGGGGTGGTGGAGTTAAAACGCTTGGGCTGGATATCAATTCATTTGTTCCAGTATGCTTATTGGACCTTTTGTATTTCCTATAATTGCCATTATTTCTTCATGTATTTTTGTTCGATCTATTTTTCATATTACATCCTCAATGATCATATTTTTGTGTGAGGTGTTGTGAGGAATCTTTATTGCTGGTTTTGTTAGATGCGTACATCTTCGGTTTGTTATGTAACTAGCAGCTGAAGGTTCAGACCCAAATGATGACATGAAGGAATCTAACGTGCGTTCAATATCCTTTGTTCTGGATGCTAGCATTCTGAAATTTCTAAGTTTCACCAAGCTTTTTGCATCACCAGTGCAGTTATGATGCATAATTACCACTTTCTCAACTTAATCTTAATTGTTTTTGCTGGGAAGTGCAGAAAGGTAGTAGTCTTCTTTCAGAAAGGAAAATCTCAGCGGCGAAGCAAGATACCGAAATCATTGAGGAGTTACTCCTTCAGCACCATACAATGGCTAGCATTATGCAGTCGCGTCTTACAAATATGCAGGTATGTATCCGCAACTTGATGTTGCAGTTTGTCTATTATTGTTGCAGAGTACGTCATGAAACTCTTGTTCTTTTATTTTGCAATGAGCAATTAACGAAACTTAAACTAATAAGTTTGACGGTCTTTGGGCTCTATGATATCTTCAACATTATGTGTTACCGTGATAGGTTGTGAGGCGTTTCTGGAATAAGAATGATATGAAGGGTGCCATTGAAGCTATGAAGAAGATGACCGACCACTCTGTACGTGCACAAACACTGTTTTCTTCTTTCTCAAGTTTTTTGTGAAGTATCTTACGAATAAAAGCAGACTGCTTCGATGTTTTACAAAATACATTAGGTATCAATCTAACTAAGGACTATGTTTTCTGGCGCAGGTACAAGTTGAGGTTCTCTCTGTGTTCATGGAAAAATCGGATCTCTTGACGTTAGAGATCTGCTATTTGTTAATCCCCTTGTTAAATGGTCTTCTTAGTACAGACAACGACAGGTAATCTAGCATGGCTTGACTTTCAACTCTTAAAGTGTTGACGTAAATAAGGATAATTTGAATAATGTAATAAGTTCTACATCTTGTTTCTTCGTGTGGTTTTCACCTGAACTATTACTCTGTAGATTCCTTATGACGGCTCTAGAGCTTTTGGGAAAGCTTGTGGAGACGTTTGGTCCGATTATCCATGCCACTCGAACTTCCGCACCATCAATAGGGGTCGACTTACAAGCAGAGCAACGGTGTGTAGCCTTCGTTTGAGCTTGTAATCTTGTTATCTCTCCACTTATTTGCTGTTTTCGTGCACTTCCGTAGCTCGAATCGCTTTTCAGCATAATCTCTAACTTAAGTAATCTGACTTATAAAACAGGCTGGAGCGATGCAATATGTGTTATCATGAATTGCAAGCTGTAGGGCATAGCTTGTTGCCCCTCATGAGGTAACTTACATCCCTTGTGCTATGTGCGTATATGCATCTCCAATGTAACCTTGATACACAGTGTGTTCCATCATATGAACCGCATCGTTGTGAATGCTTCCCTCTATTAGCACTGCACGTCAAAATCTGTTATTCATATTATTCCTATGGTTTGGGTCCACGTCATTAATTTAATTTCTGCTCATGATTTCTGTTAGCTTCTTCAATGAAGCTTGGTAGCTTTATGGTATGGCTTATGCCAATGTCGCCTAATATAACTTCGGATTCAGATGTTTTATCTACAATTGGACTGCATGATGCGTGTTCGCACATACTCCTTTACTATATATAGATAATATTGTCACGTTTTGGCAGATTTTTTTCAGAAAGTGGAGATCTCATGTGAGGTTCCTTATTTTATTGCAGGAAAGGAGGGGACTTAACAAAAGCAGCTAGGAACTTACAAGAGGCTCTTGGACGAGTTTGATAGGAAATGCCGGCAGATTTTGGTCCTGATTTCTTTGCACCTTCGTTGTGGTAGTTGTATACGGAAAGAATTAGTGATAGGAAGCAAAGTAGGATTTTCTATTGGTGTAGGTAATGAGTTTCCCTTCTAGTTTCTAGCTCCTTTGCACGTGGTGCATTGCCTAGTATTGCTAAAGAAGACATGAACCTTTTTAAGCTCAACCTGCAAGAACCGTAGTTCTGGCAGAATGGGACCGGCTCCATTCCAAAGGAGTCTACCTTCATCAGCAAACGCATGAAACGAGCAGTTGGTACCCTCTTTAACCATAAATTCTTTGCCTGGACTTGACTGGAAAGGCTCTTTAGAATAGTGGGACCTTCACGATCACTGTCTAATATTGTTCACAAGGGGAACTGTGTCCTGTCATATCCATTCTTGACCTGAAGGGATTTTGATCTGGACCCCGTGTAAGGTTTTGTATGTTGAAATATGAGCGTGCTTTGGTATTACTTCGAACTGTTCGGGAACTAAGCAGCGAAAGTTGTTTCTATCTGTGGTTCATCTTCACACCGAATTTATTATTTGTTCAAGCAAACATGCTGTGTGATGTTCATAGGATATGTGATTTCTTGAACAAACTTGAGTTTTTCTTGAACTTTGTTGGATGTGTGAGATGGGTAATTTATTAAGACCTTTGGATCAGGTATCAATAGATACTATACAATTTATCAATTCTATAATAAATTACACTGCAATAATGTCATTGGTCAAAAGACGAGGTTAAACAATTGGTCTATTTCATAACAATTAATAAAAAGCAAATCATGCTGATTTTGGGTTATTTTCGTTCTGCTTATGAGAAAATTGGACACGAGATAATGCAGTATCCGCATTGTTGCGGAACTCATAAATTTTGCATATAGTTGTATTTTATTATGTAGAAATTTCACATTGGTAACATTTACAATACAATATAAAAAAAATATATCGATTTAGAAGAGGTGTTCGTACAACCAAACAGATACAGGATCAAAATGTTTCAAGATAATCTAAACAATGATTATAATCTGCTAAATCACATCATCGAATTGTATTTTTCATTTCAACATTTAACAAAATTTTGTAGATGTTTTGTCTTATTGAATTCTCCATTTGAGGTTCATATTTATGTGCCATATTTAGAATAGGTTCTGAATCATGTTCCTATTCTTCCTTCAAGTTTTGCTATATCAGTCAAAATTTCTTAACATTTAGTTTACACATACCATGGCACAATAATATAAATTGATGAAACGACATTGAGCTTTTTTTGCTTTAGTTCATTGTTAAATTATTGTTGAAGAAAAATGCGAGTTCAGAGAATACGACATAGTCAGGCCAATCCCACCAACATATCATATATTACACTAGAGTGGAGAATGCTTTTAGTACGAATACTCAAATACAAATACTAGGAAATCCTAGTCAGCCATAAGTCTAGTTGACTGGCCACACGACTTGGTAGGAGTCGTGGACTATACAGATTCTCTGACGAACAGACAGCTAAAGTCCATGAGTTGATGTGAGAAGTGTACCACAAGCAAGCTTTCACGATTGTTTTGAGACTGGTAGTTCAGAGGTATAGAAATAAGACTTGTCAATTTGGAATTGATAAAATGCTTCATGATTCAATCTGGCAACCGCGATGCTTAATTGTCAAGGATTGAGTCCGCTAGATTGTGTTGAGTGTAGATAATCACCAGTGTTCTGAAGGTTCATAGGAGAAAATTCTGAGAATGGCTGAAATGTAGTCAACAGAAAGTTCCAAGTAATTTGGTAACACGTACTAGAATCCAAGTCCCCCATGCTGACTGCTGACCTTGCTAGTGTTCTTTTGTAACACCCACATGTACTTTCTTGCTACTACGCTTTCGGCCTCACAAAATGTTGTCCAAGGTGGTGGGTGCGTGTACTACCTTTATTTGTACTCCTATATCAGAAATCAATAATTTCCAAATCACACTTTCAACAGCCTACATGGAGATTGATGATTGATTGAAAATACAGGGAATGCCAAAATCACGGGCAGTACCTGAAAAAGATTCTGAAGTGACGTTGCAGGCGCAGTTTACAGGATACGAGTTTCCATGTACGCTAGCCTTTTTAATTAAGCCTGCCAACATCATGCGCAAGTTAAATCTTGATAATATATTATCCATCATAGAGACAGCCGTTGAGCTTAAGAAACAGGAAATTACTCACTTGCTATAATGGTATGTAAAAGCTGCGTTTTGCGCACTTTCCTTCAGAGCCGAAAATTTAATACCTGATCCAATAACAGTAGCTTGTATTTATGACTCATCTTTCAGGTCTCCATTGAAAACAATCGACAGAGGGGCTACAATAATGATAACTGAGAGGAAATAAGAACCAAAATGCCCTAGATAATACATGCTTATAATATTCTTCATAGAATAAAACTACAAAGAGGACCAAATCATCTCATATGAACTGGCACCTAACGACTGCAAATATTTCCTAAGCTTAAACTTCTGAAATATCAAAACATAGAAATAATCCCACAAAAATGAGATCGAACTTATATTAAGCAGAAAACGCCTTCCCACCCTACAAACCTGTGAGTTGTTCGAAATCTCGGTTTCCTATGATATTCATCCTTGTCTACGCGTGACAATTGTGAGCCGCAACAACCAAATACAAGCACCTGCCAAGGCCGTGTTATACATGGTTTTGTACATATGCTCTAGCAGAAAGCAACGTGTGGACAGGTCTAGACATGTGAACATGAAGGATTGGAAAAAGATGTGAGTGGAAATTGTCTCTGATTTAGGTTTCTGCATAAAGAGACCAGAGATGTATTTACCTCCTCTTCGTTTGCGACCTCTATCTTCGTAATTATCCCTAATCAGGGTACTTTGCATTTCGCCTGATACACGCTGATTCAATTGCTGATCTGTCCTTCTCTGAGCAAGCTTAGAATTCTGATTTACATCACCCCACCTACCACCTACTTGCTCGTGTTTCTCCTTCGATTGGTTTAACACTGCTTTCTCCTTGTCACCTTGTCCTTGTGGTTGATGATCTCCAAAGCTCTGACCCAAAACTTCCAAGCCCAGCAACACGGGGCTTCCGGCCCTTGGACGTGATGCCTTTCGACATCGGTTCTTATCATCCACATATGCCAGGAGGTCAGGGGGGATTTTTGCATTCCAGTCTATATTTTTCTCAACATAAAGATCTGGGTTGTTCACACGTGTTCGTCCAATTATTACAAAATCCCACGTTTCTTTTGCTCCAGTATCGTCCCAGTGCTCTATACTCTCAATTTGGGGTGGCTTGCTCCAGTCAGAAAGACTACTTGTAGCAAGAGCTTCCCACGCACTTGTAAGGTCTGAATACAGCGATACCAACAAACAAATCGGCAAAAAATAACTAAGCCCCGAGAAGGAAAGCTGTTAACACATACCAAGATTAAGACATAATACTTAGGTGGAAGGAAAATATTGCAGCTCATAGACTGAATGTTAAGTAGTGCGTAGGTTTCTTCGAAATCATTCAATACATATCTGAAAATTCAGACAAATTTCAGCTTCGACACTCCAGCTACCAAGCCGTTCATATGAGGTTACTGCCTCGGAGAGATATACAAATCCAAACCCTGAAGGACTAGAATACGAACTTCAAGAGCATTACACCACGCATGTGGCGAAACCACTCTATTGTTAAGTTGGAAAATATTTTACCTCGGACAGATTGGGATGATCCAACGGTTAGCACAAATGATCAATTAAGCAACGCCAGTTAAAAAGGGTAAGTTGGTGAGCAGCAGACATACCTGTTGCAGCGTCATTATCAACTGGAGTTGAACCCCAACCATCATCAGCTTTTGTCTCGGTTTCTGTTATCAAGCGTAAAGAAAAAGAACTAACATAAATCACTAATCAGGATTCCAGATGCAAGATGCAGGAACAAGAATCTCAATACAAAGTAGATGTCGAAAATTTCCACTTAGACAGAAATCAGTGATCGAAAAGTGGGCTTGAATTGAAACTCAATTGAAGGTCCCTCTAAATAACCCAAGAAACAGATTCACGAACAGGCGATTTATTATATGACTTGTTTTACAACTAAATTTATTGGGAATTTCTCTTAGAAACAGGCTTTCCCAGGGATTGAAAGTCACCAACTTATAATTTAAAATACACAACCAGTTATTAAGTATTAAGTAATAAGACAATGCTGTAATCACAGCTGACCAGATATTCAAGTTAATGTAATTCGCATGAAAAAGAAAAATTGTACCTCTGACATCACTACGTCGGACAGGACCATCTGTAGAAGGAGGTCCATAATCAATTAAAGCAGTGCTATCCCATCTTGTGGCTCCTCGCCCTTCCTCTACAGATGCGATCAAGTTGATTAAAGGCTTCTTAATATTGTCTCAAAACCTGGAAAAGCAAAGCTATCTAAAGAGAATATGAAATAAGGATACCTACAGGAAACCTTAAGGATGCAATGGTTCATCACCTACAACAAAACCAAATTTCTAGATAGCATTGTTAGGCTTGATGACACTGTGAGTTGGTAAAAGATATTTGCTAGGTTATGAATTATCAGCATAGAAAGAAAAACAGCTGGATATGACGAGAAACGTTGTGCGTCACCTCGGGGTGCATTATGCAGATGCTGAGTAGATGACTCCTCCCTGTGGATTGAATTTCTAACCCGCCACTCTCTACCATTGCCTTTCGTTTCTGATACAAAAATATATATATATATATATATATAATTCAGGTTGTAAGAGTGACTCAAGCAGCACCGCTAGAATCCTCCTTTTCGAGCATGAAAAGATTTAAAACCAAGTAAATGACTGAAGACATAGAAAGTGAGGATTAAAGATCGGAACAAATTGACAATTGAAGACGCAAAAAAACCATCTCTAAGAAACCGACTAGGCCAATGAGACACACAGAAACTCGTCAGACGACACATAGACTCAAATTCCCTACGTATCAGGAGACGAGGCTTAACTCCATCCATCACATGCGAGAATACCAATACATCGCAATTATATAACACACACCTTCGGCAGAATATCTCCAGCTTGAACGCCGATTCTTCATCCTGCTTCGTGAACTACCTCACCTGATCCGCCTCACTGTAGTATGACTAAAAAGTGATCACTTCTGATTGATGCACAGGATCACAATCCATCAAGTACGTCAGAACAAGTTTCCTAAGAACGGAATTTCTACCTTGAACCGAACAGGATTGAGCAAACAGACTTCTCTCATTGCTTTGAGGTCCAAAGAACGCTGGAGCCTAAATTTCTCTGATGCGAACCTTCTTATACCAAGTTACGGCTAAAACAACAACCCTAATTCTGAAAACAGAAAGATCAGCATTAAAGTGAAGCGCAAGGATAACTCACAGCTGGCGAGAAGGGCTTCCTCCCTCTAACTTTCCGAAGGACCTTGCGCGCCCAAAACGCATCCACCAATTAAGAACCTACTCGACAGTGAAGAGCAGAGACAAAATTCTGCTACAAAACCTCGACAAGAGGTGCAATTCACAAATTCACAATTTCCTTTCAATCCCCTTCAATCCACGACCGAACCACTCCTACAGAGCCATTCTCTTCCGAAACAAAAGAAACGCACGCCTCATACAAAAACTAAAACGATTCCTGAAGACTAAGTCCGCCCTCGGCAACGCACGTCACAACCACCAATCCCCGTCCGATGCCGCCAGGAAGACGTCCGACCCACGCTCTTCCCAGACCACATCGCCGGGAACAGAGTACACACAAAATTTCCGAAACACAGCATGAAAATCCCGCCCTTAACAGGATTGCCCACGCCTCTCCGCCCTTCTACTGCTGCCACTCCTATCGCTGTCACTACATCCACTGCGCAGGCACAGAATGAGCATTCCAAGACCAAAACCACCACCGCGCAGGCAAACAAACGAACAACGAGAGTCCCGATTTGGGAAGTAGTAATCCGACAAGGCGGCCCCGCTGCTGCTGCTGGCCAGCGCACTGCGATTACGGGGGATGCGTGCTCATCGCAAGTTCAGCGCTGAAATCGCCGCTCCGCTACGCCACGCTCGCAACGCGACCACCGTTCCTTGCGCAAGCACATGACCTTTGCCGTCGCCGTTTTCTGGGAACCGGAAGGGGGGAACGGGGATCTGGGAACGTGGTTGAGAACATTCAAGGGGGTAAGTTCCTTTCGATTGGGTGTTCGTGGGCCGATCTTTTACCCACTCTGTATAGCTTTTTCTTTTCTTTTTATATCTCTTATTATGAAGGTCTTGATGTGATTCAATGGCATTTTGACCCAAATGCTATGAATGAGAATCGTGATGCTTTGCACTTAGATTTTAAATTTTTATGATTTCTACAAAAAGAAAACATTTAAATTAATATTTAATCTAATTCATCATTCAAGTTAATGATGTTAAATTTAACATTAATTTGTATTATAATAATCTAAAATAAAATTACAGTCATATACTTCAATCAATTTTAATATTTCAACACAACTTGTTGTTTTTATTATTGTGAATTTAATTTGTTCTTGCTGTTGAATATTTACTTACTAATTAGAAATGTCTCATAATTTGTTTATTGTTTAATTCTCGTTTTTAGAAGGTGCAAAAGTTAAATTTTATCATCAAATTAAGATTTCCACTGATAAGAAACTTCCAGCCGCGATGAGTTTGAGAAGAAATATTCTCAACTCATGTTTTAGAAAGGAAATCTCTACTTAATGCCCTCTGAAACAATATCACAATTTAAAAAGATTATTTTCCAACTGGTACTGTTCCGGAGTCTCTTTGACACACATTGCATTGTGAACAAGACAATATTAACAGGCACACAACAAGATAGGTAATAGTTGAGCTATTTTACGAGTTACGGAATCAACAAAGCAGGCACTTCAATCTCGAAAATCTAACAAAATAAAACAGAGACTCGTAATCTTGATGTTTTAAATGAAAAATGAGATTCACAATAAATTAATGTTCTGTAATTTTAGACTGTGTAAGTTCATGGTGATCCCAGATAGCACTGAAGAAACGCCACCAATAGATAATCGAATGTTCAAAGATGTTAACTCAATTCCTCAGCAAAAAGTGCTTCTATTGAAAGGTACGTCACACATAGTGATACATTTACGCCCAGGAATTACTGCCGACCAATACAATTGCACATTTTATGCAGCTCAGTTATCAAAGCAAAATTCGCTAGAAACAGGGGCAAGCGTCGATTCCACAATCCTTTGATTTCGTATACGTAAGTCAGATAGACAATATAAAAAATATCCTTTCTTGTTGGTGGAAGAGAGACTGCTAACTCGGTATACAAACATACTCTCTATATATACCGGCAATGGTTTCAGCAATTATCCTTCTAGACACCATAGCAGCAGATCAGGTGAAGTACGAGTAACCTTACTCCCAGCCACTCGGTAGTGAAAGAGTGAAATAACCACTGATGTAGGAAAATTATGTCAATTATGATAAGGCTGAAAACACTCTACAGTTTATAGTGGTCGTACAGAGGGCACAGTGTCCAATTGTCTTGAAGTATCCAAATCTTCAACAAGCTGAAGTGGACTGAGGATTTCCTTGATTTCTTTTGCATCAAGGGTTTCATTTTCAAGCAGAGCTTTCGCCAGCTTATGCAGATCTGCTTCACGCTGCAAGCGCCAAATAATACGCGTGAATGAGCGTGAAAATTTGCTGCTCATGAAGTTTTAACAAGAGAAAAAAATTCTAAAGTGCACGATAAATAGACATGATTTATTTTTAAGATATAACGAAAAAAAGATTATAAAGAATAAGAATAAAAAAGCCTACAAAGTTCGTCTCGAAACAGCAAATCAAATCAAAATTAAATTGATACGGGGACTTGGCAAGCATAGCTACGTACCAGTTTTAATAACTTCTTAACACGTTCATAAGCTTCTTTGAGTAGTCGCACAACCTGTGGTACAAAAATAAGGTATAAGATTAAGGTGAATAAATACATTGAAATGAATGAAAATATGCACAGCCTGAAAACAATCAAAATCGAGGAAACATAAGTTTGAACTTTCCCAGGATAAAAAGGCCAACTAACAGACTACAAGAACAATCAACATGGTGTGGTGTAATACCTCAGCATCGATACTTTTCTGAAAATCGCCACTAAGTTTTGAATCAATAAATACGGGACCTACTGCATCACTCATACCACACTCGGTCACCTGCATAGAAGGTAAATACGAATAGTGATCAAACATGTTACAAATTGTAAATGGCACTTCTCTTGCTTAACAGAACGTGTCATAACGAGCAATAACAAAAAATCATATTCCTCTTCAAGAGTTTCAGAATTTTGCGTAACAGTACCATGTGACGAGCAAGGGCAGTCGCCTGCTGCAAATCACTCCGAGCCCCGCTAGTAACTTGATCAGGCCCAAAGACCATCTCCTCAGCAACCCGACCGCCCATGCAAACATCTAATCGCGCAAGCATCTGCTTCTTACTGACTGAGGTTTCGTCCTTATCAGGAAGCTGAGTAACCATTCCTAGCGACACCCCTCGAGGAGTAATAGTGGCTTTGTGAATAGGGTTGGCACCTTGGGTATTAAAGGCAACTACAGCATGCCCAGACTCATGATATGCTGTCAACTGCATTGGCAGAACACTTGAAGTGAGTCTTTGACCAAACCCACTAACACATAAACTCATTCCGAACACTTTAAGAAATGCGTAAAATATAAACCAAAAAACTACTCGACCCAGTTGCAAGAAGCTTCTTTAAACATCACTAGTTCATAAATGTTCTCGCACGACGGATACATTTGTACTGCAAACATGAAGATTACACAAAAAGCAATCAACATACTTTAAAGTCGTTGGACAATTAAAAAAAAATTAAAGCTTTGCGCAATGCATCCAACAACGCCAATGATGAGCACTTCGGTTTACCTTACGAGACTCTTCAGTCAAAGCCATGGACTTGCGTTCAGTGCCCATTAGAAGTTTGTCTTTGGCAAATTCTAATTGTTTGTTAGTGATCTTGTCAATACCGTCCACAGCAGCCTTAACTGCTGCCATATTAACCATATTCGCAAGATCTGGTTGCACAAACATAGATTACATATAAATATTCCATCAGCATGAATAAGTACAAACAGCGGAAAAGGCATACTGGATTTTGATTCATACTCAAGTATCCGCCAGTGATTACATATACTTAAGTCAAAAACAAGCCAGAACTTGCAGAAAGAGTCTAACTTCAAAAGTCAATCCTCAACCACTACTCAACAGAGACCACAACAAACTGAAAATCTATCTTAGAATAACCGGGCTACGAATCATCCACGTATTTATTAGATGCACGGTACAAAGAAAACAAAAAATCTGTTCAACATCCAGTTAAATCAACATATATGACGGCTCACCTGCCCCACTGAAGCCAGGTGTCCCTCGGGCTAGCATTTGAACATCGACGTCATCTGCCAAGGGTTTATCTTGCAAATAAAGATTGAGGATCTCTTTTCTCCCTTTGGAATCTGGATTACTCACAACCACCTACAATACGAACCAAACACGTTGCATGTCATAATTTCAAGGCTCTAGCAATACTATTAATTGCTAAGTGGTACAATAGTTCCAAGTAAATAACATATCTAAACGTCCCATTTTTACAAAGAATTAAAAACACTGTATATATATATATATATATATAACGCACAAAAACAATCACCAAATGTGCAAGGATAGACTGTCCTGTAATGTTTACCAAGAAATTGATAGGACCAACATACTTACATGTCTATCAAATCTACCAGGTCGTGTCAGAGCTGGGTCAAGAGTCTCGGGGAGATTTGTAGCTGCTAGCACAATGATGCCCTGCAGAATATAACAATATCAAACATACAATACAAGCAAGAAATAAATAAACAAAAGATCATGATGTATATACATGACCGCTTCTACTCTACATCGGTTTGATATCAACCAAAGGCAACATGTTCAGTAACCAATCAAATTGAAGTGAACTAACCTCATTGGCATCAAAACCGTCCATCTCTACCAGCAACTGATTCAGAGTTTTTTTCGTATGGCCTTCCCATTGCTTGCGGCTGCCCCCAACAGCATCAATTTCATCAATAAAGACGATGCAAGGAGCCTGTCGCCACAAACAATCAATCAAAACCACAGAACTGAAGTTCTCTGTAAAACCAGCAAATCATATATGCAGATTCTTTTGAAGAATGAATACGAGAGTGTAAAAGAGAATATTATACAAGGGTATTGGTTTATACGAAATGTACCTTTTTCTTAGCTGCTTGGAATAAGGAACGCACTCTACGAGCACCAACACCTACGAACCTGGAAAGACCCACAGGTCAATACCAACAAAAGTGAAATTAACACCGAAAATATACACATCCGCTATTGTGTCGATGCATACAGGGCCATCACATTAAATTGCTACAACGCAACCGGTGCACAAAGATGGGGACCATCCACAAGTTTTTAATGATCTGAATCGTTAGTGGAATGAATGAAACCTGCAGTATTCCATAAGACGTGGCACCTTACATTTCCTCAAACTCAGACCCTGCGCGGTAGAAGAATGGAACCCCGGCTTCTCCAGCAATGGCCTACCAATAATGAAAAAAAGCAAAATGACAAGAACGAAAAATATAATAAGTAATTGATCAACAGGATAATGAATATTGTTCAATTAAACTAGATAATGATTCCCTCCAGATACGCTAACATGCGATTTGATTCTAGGAGACTTTTCAACATTATAACATTGTCAATTACCTTGGCCAGCAGAGTCTTTCCAGTGCCAGGTGGACCAGTCAGAAGAACACCCTGTGAAAGAAGAAAATTCAGATTAAACATATGTATAAATAAATAAATAAATAAATAACCTAATATCAGAAATAAGAGTTTTTCAGTCTAGCGCCATCTTCAAAAAGATCAGGTGGGCTTTGCCAGGTCCAGTGAATGAAGACGGTCAACAAGACCTTTGCAGCGTCAACAAAAAAAAAAAAAAAAAAAAAAAAAAAAGCAAAAGAAACTTAACATTGGCAGAAAATGCAAGGATAATATGCAAAATTTATCACAATACTCCACTTTGAGATTCGATTCACCTTAGGCAACTTGCCACCAAGACGAGTAAATTTGGCAGGGTTTTTCAGATACTCCACAATCTCCTCCAATTCCTCCTTGGCTTCATCACAGCCTTTCACATCGTTGAAAGTTTTCACGTTCTGTAACACGATGTAGAACATCACCCAGAACAGGAACATAAGCATCTCATGAATGTAACCCGGAAAGAAATGACCCGCTTCTTCGTACGTCGTACTTAAAAATGTGAAAACCAAAAGGTAGTCTATGCTTCTAGACTATTCGAAGCACAATACTTGAATACAGAAAATTTAAAGCATTGTAATGGTGGTCCATAATCGAGTAAGTTCTACTGAATCAGAGTTATCTCCGATATCCTGTTACGGAAGAAAATGCAAGATTTCGTACTAACCTTCTCTGGAACATTCTCTTTATTAAACTCCTTTGGTGAATATAAGTTGCTGCCGCTGATGCCGGAAGTTGAACCTACACCGGCCACGCCATTCACATACTTGCGAATTGCTGCAGCGCCTACAACCCTGCAATACAGCTATACATCATTCATAAGCCTGACAAATAATAGCAAACAATAAATCCGATAAAACTTACATCACTGGGTATAGCCGAATAAGAAAGTGAAAATTGAATTTTGCATCTTTGATAAGTTCAGCTTCAGTATATGACATGTGATTTAGAGTGAAATAGATCTTGTGAGCATTACCACATGACACTGAAGATTATCATAAACAATACTGTCGAAATAAGTTCTTGAACGAATCGCATAGACTTGTTGTTGGCTTTCGATTCAACCTATATTGGCATAAATGTCCCAATTTGTTAAAAACTGAATAACAACCATGTATAACACAAACATTGTTTTCAAAAAAATTGGGGCCCTAAACCACACACTACAGGCGCTGGAACAATGGATGATGTTATTCTAATAGCTACAAAAATTAGAAATGACACAACTACAAATACCAAAGTCACAAAATTACCATAACAACGTGTAAGGGTTGCTGCTCCGTCAATCCAGGTGGAGCCAACAGTTTGTCGGAGTTGCCTTCCACTCGCTGCATCAAGCTTTGAAGCTGCAAGGAAACAAACACAGGTCAGAGGAAACAGCACCATACCTGCAGTTCAAAAGACACGCACATTTCCAGTGGCAGCAACCCTTACCCGTGTCTTAAATCAGTTAAGTCGAGAACATGAAAAACGATTGCTTACCAAACGAGAAAGTTCAGAAGATCTGCCTTTGCTCTCGTCTGGGATATAACCAGCAATGGCATCGGTGGCCACAAGAGCGCGCAAGTATTCGACTACGGCTTTTCCATCTACTGCATACTCCCTTTTCTCAAATCTTTCCAATACAGCTTGTGGCCTGCAAGAACAACACTGATTAATTAGCCCGTGCAGAGTCAAGTATATCATCAGGTTCCGTGAAACGATTCACATGGCCAAGACAAGTAGAGCTAATGTCCTCTGGACAAAAATGAAGAATCTATGACTTCCCATTCATCGCCACAAAATAATTCAACCACAGGAAAATAGAGCACCGAAAATTGACGAGGGTCAAATGTTAACGTTTCACTGCATACTTAAAGAAAAAAGATTTCGCTAAAAATGGAACCCAACTAAGTGATGATGTACGCTTGTGCTGCAGTGCATTTTGCAGTGTACGTCGAAATTATGATGAGAAAAATTCTAAATTTTCAAGATATAATGGTTCTAACCAGAGTATCCAATAAAACAATTTGATTCGGTAAAGTATAAAGGCAGCAACAAAATTTGAAAATATCCAATGCTTCCGCAACCAAGATATCCACCGTGTCCTCAATTTCGACGATACGGAATATCTTTCGTGGCACACACATCGAAGTGCTAAAATTGTGAACATAAACCGATTAGGGTATAGTGTTACAATGAGATACCGCAATCAGCACCACATCCATCAAGTACATAGAATACCAGAAAAAGTCGCCTGAAGACATTCTGACCATAGGCAGGAGCGAAGAAATAAGAGGTCTTTCTACAGTGGTTGTTTAGGCAAGAACGATGGACGAGATTCCGACGAGAGATGAGTACTCAATATCACAAAGTGGAAGCAAGAATCTGACCTTTGCTTCAACAACTCTCTGAGCAAAGCAGCCTGCTTATCAGCATCTTGTGGATTTTCGTCGGCTTCTGTTAGTAAACGCTCCAGCTTCCTTCTCTTCTGCCATGCCGGCCAGCTCGTAATAAAAGCTACCAGCGAGTTGCGCATGACTCTATCCCATACTATTGCCAGCAGAGCACCAATGTTCCAGGGAGCCGGCATGCGAGCCTCACCCGAATCATGTCCTTGACTCGGCCCATTCTGCACCTCAACCTGACCAGAAACACCTCCTGCCTCCACCGACCGATCAAAACCTTCCACCTGCACCTGCGAGCTACTCTGCTCACTAGAACTTCTATCATTCTGACTCTTTTGGCCATATTCCTTCAAATTACTGAACTTTTTTGACGCCTCTGATACGCCTACCTCACTGTCATCCTTTCTCGTTCCTGCGACGTCATCGCCTTCTCCAATAACTGCCGCGCTATTCTGCGCTCGCTCTTCGAAATTTTCATCGCTGAGCTGGCCGCCCGAGCTTCGGCTGCCAGCACATATGCCAAGCTTCTTCCTGCTCAACGGCTGAGCCCTACCAATCCATGACGCTCTATCCGCAGAAGCTTTAACAGAAACTCGCCGTCTGGACCTAAAATGCTCCGCGCCGCATTTTTCCCGTACTCCACCGCGACCACCGCACAGCAGAAATAATTTCACTCTGTAAAAATCCGCCCCACTCGCCTGACTGCTCACCGCAACACTGCACCTGCCACCGCCCAGCAGGTGCGGTGTACATTGAATAGAGCACATTGCCACTTCCACTACGCCCTACTCAATCCTATACACTCCAAAAAATAACAAAACCCCGCAGACAGCTTCGAATTGCGCAATCCTAAACCCCTAAATTTCCAAAACTCCACGACGTCGTCCACCCGGAATCACACCGCGCCACCAATACTTCCACCCCGCGCACTCCGACAGACGCTCTCCTCGCCTAAACGAGAGAACAACCTCCACGGAATCGCAGAATGCAACAAAAAGGCAAAAAGGGGGAAATAATCACCGCGAAGAAGCAACAGCTCCCTTCCTCCTTCGTGTTTTTCTTCCGTTCCCTTCCACCCCGCCCCCTGGTTGCAGCGAGCGATAAGAACAGAATATAATTATCATTCGATGATCCGCATTGCAATCTCTTTCCAATGACGACGACGCCCGCCCAGGCTAACTAAAGATGAAGGAGAGGAGATTTGCGGGCGGGGCCTAGAACCGCGACGCGGTCCTAACGTCGGAGATGATGTAGCTCAGTGGTTGTGGTGCGAGCGACACAGGCCTTCCTCGCCAAACGTTGAGATTGGGGAGGAGAAACCACTTGGCTTTCGATTGATGTCGAGGACTTCTCAATCCGGGTATCCACATTCCGGGTACCATCCCACTTCGGGTCTTATCGCATCTCGGATATCACGGATGGGCGAGTTGCGAAGAAAGTGCATAGGGTCATTCGCGTGATGGTGTGATTCGTGGATGGATGAACTGTCTTGTGGTGGATGGATGAACTGTCTTGTGGTGGATGGATGAAAGTTGGTATATCCAGGGTGAGATATTGAATACCGTGATTTTCCCAATCATTTATGCATTAATTGATTTTGTCCTCACATATAATCTCTCAGCTGGGCAGCAAACATTCAAAAAGATGTTTCGGTGAGCTCATTCAATTAATCAAAATTGAAGAGAATTAAGCCCCCTTTCATTTTTTATCATCAGAAAAACTAATTTGGATGATAAAACACTATTTCACATAGAATTATCATTTTCATGAAATCAAAACATTCTTTATTTCATTCGTTCTTATAGAAGGAAATGAATGCAAAAATATGTATCTGTTATATAGTATCAGATGGAAGTTTTATATACAAAAAAAAGAAAAAAATAAACTTCAACAAAGACATGCTGTAAATTTAATTGTGCTTGTCAATATTTTTTTTCGAGACCATCATCTCAAATTTTGATCAATGTGGTGTTTTTACATGAATAAGATAACTTGTTAAAAAAAATAAAAATAAAATAAAATAAAATAAAATTTCGAAACCTAAACCATTGAAATTCAATCATCTTTTGTTAAGGAATTAAATAAAGATGAAATCCATGATCATTAATATTAACACAAAAAAATTGTGGAATTAGGGGTGTCTAATTATCCGACTTGTATGGATTACTTTATACTTAGTTTTATTGTATTAAATTCATATTTGCGATAAAAAGAAGAAAAAAAAGAAAAGGAAAAAAAAGAAGAAGCAAGAGTCAAAATAGTTGAATTTCAATGGACATATTTTTAATAATTTATAATTATTATAATCATTTCTACAAACTATTGTTTGTTTGTCTATTCTAATTTTAACTTGCACTATAATTAAAAATATTATAAGTTTGTATTTTAAGGTTGATTTTTCAGGTTGCAATCAATTCTTTTCTATTATTTTCTATTTATTTTCAAATCCTAGTGAAAAAATCTAAATTTATGACCTTGTTTTTTAAGTACATTCTATTCATGTAAAGCTTAATAATATTCAAAACATCTGAACTTGGAAAATAATTGTAAGACAGTATTGTGTTTTTTCAATTGAATACTTACATTTATTTTTTTCTTTTGAGTGAATCTAATTTTTTTTAGATTTTTGAAACTCATTGGAATAATAATGTAAACTACTCCAATATTTATATTAAAAGAACAAAAGAAAAAGAAAAAGATAAACATATTTAGGCGATAGTTATATTCTGATTACCTACATACAAACACCTTAGACCATCAAATGTGATAATTAACATTATTTTGCTAATCTATTTTTAAGTTTAAGATAGTTTTAACAAGCCTTTAGCTGTGTAAATTTTTTAATTGGAAAAATAATATTCAAAATATCAATAAAAATTACTTATTATTACAATCAATTACAACAAAAAAAGTTAACCAAATTATTTTTTTCTTCAAGCTACATCATCACAAAACTTTTTAGATTTTTATAACTTTCTATAAGTTATTATTATTATTACTATTATTATAGTCTGTAAATACAAGCATTATGATTTTTAATCTGATATGTTATTTTTGGTGTACTTTAAGTGTATATAAACAACATAAATATTATATAATAGTTTAATTAAAAGGTCTAAATTTTCAACATTTATAAATGCAATAACAATGGACTCATTAAATAGTAATGTTTCAGGTCATAAAAGAAGAATTATTTATCCAGAAAATATTAGAGGAAAATATATAATTAGAAGTAAGAGTTTATTCGTATAATAAATAAAAATAAGTATAAGAATTTTATCTACAACTTGTTATTAGCACATGATTTTATAGTATTTCTTTCATGAATTTTTTTCTTAATAATATTGAATACATTTGTCCAAATATTGGAAATAACAATTAAAAAATTAAATTGAATAATCACAAAGAAATACATGACATTTTAGTGTAGTGTTCCAAATAATTGCTAATTGAACTTATTGACAATTTTGTAATTGCTTTAATATTGTGGTATATTTCAATGTAAAATTGCCAATAAGAAATTCTAAACTACTCATGCAAAGTTTAGAATTAGGAAAGATAACCGCACATTTGAACAAAACCCTAATTGGTAAAAAAAAATATGAAAAAGAAAATCGACGACACCCAACATCCATCACGAATGAATGCCGTTGCTTAGCAACTATCATCCAGCGGATATGGATGAAATACGTTCCGACGATCCTGGAAGTGCAGACGAATGAATTTCTTACATCCACGAAAAGATTATAGTTCTGTACATCCTCGGGGGGGGGGGCCGGGCTGCATCGGAGATGCTTCCCCTGGGTGTGGATAGCAGTTCACCACTCCAGCGTCAAATATGCATCACATGGTGAAGCCCCACTTTCCAAAGAATCCAATGGGCTCGCCCTCAATTAGTGATAGAATTATTAAAAACCGAATTCGATTTCTCCACCCCCAATTTACAATATTATGAAAGCAATTCGCCTTCATGCACTCACGCATGGATGAACTATGGAATATGCATGACATCCATCAATATCGCACGGACTGGCTGACACCCCGACTACCTGTCGCCGGCCACGTGTTGCCACTGCTCTTCTGACGGGGAAGTCCGAACCCCGTTTCCACAGCTGAGACGATGCTTGGTATGATATACATGCGTCTGAGGGTATGGTGAGATACCTAGGCGGGGGTATGACCCGTGCATGGTAGAAGATGGCGCAGGGCGAAGGCACATTTCGTGAAGACTCGGTGTGGTTTGTTTGTTTGTTTTGGTTGTTGTTTCGAGGACATTCACTTGCGACGCCGAGGAAGGAGGGAATCGTCATAGCGGGTACGTTGGACATTGTTCGTGGTGGTGGGATGGGTTTTGATGAGGGAGTGATGTGAAGATCGCGAGAAAGGGGAATCAGCAACTTGGGAGAGAGAGGGGGAGGACAGGGTGCGTATGGGCGGGGGTTGAGGGTTTGAAATTTGATTCGAGGGTGGTGGTGGTGGTCGGTTGCAGGATTGGTAGAGTTATTAGGAAGAGGAAGAAGAGGAGGAGGAGGAGGTGGTGGTGGGAGAGGAAAAGAGAGGGACGGGAAGTGGAAGAAGAAGAGGAGCATTGAGTGAGGAGGAGGAGACGGAGGAGGAATTGAGGTGTGCTGGGCGAGTGGTGGTACGATGTCGGCAACATCAGTTGTGGAGAAGGCCACGAGTGATATGCTCATAGGACCTGACTGGGCTCTCAATCTGGACCTTTGCGATGCCATCAATAACGACCCCTCGTAAGTTTGCAGATGTGTGATTGGGGGACTTATCGAATGTCGCCTTGGCTAGGGTGTCGATTTGAATTTTGGATTTTTGCTCCGCGGGTTTTAACACTGAATTTTGATTTTGTTTAATTTCGCACTTTGTGCTGCTTGGGTGATATTCCGTGTTTGTGGAGTTTATATACCGTGCTTTTGAGGATATACTGAATTTCAGTGACTGTTGTTTTTTGGTTTACCGGCTTGGACTTAGTCTTAATCAATATATATATATATATATATATATATATATATATATATATATGTGTGTGTGTGTTATTCGATTGCTGTGTTTCGGTGCATGCGCCTAGTGGATTAATCTTTAACGAAGAGCAACAAGATTGTCTCTGAATTACTTGGTAGGTTCTTTGGTCGATCAGGATATTAAGAAACCAGATCGAGCGAATCTGAGTTTTATAGAGCATTCTCCGGAGTCGCATTTGTGCCCCATATCTAGGCTGAAATCTGGGTTTCAATATAGATTGAACTGTGTATGCTAAGTAGGCCCATTATGGATTTTCGTCCAGTACAGTTGAAGCGATTTCTTGTGGTTCCAATGGATTGCGAATACACCATTTTTGATGAAATTTCTGGTACAGGAATTATTACTAGAGCTCTCTAGATACACAAAGAATGGTAGTAGTTGGCCCAACGCTTGGCCCTGTTCTCGGCTCTTTGATCTATGAAGCAATTTGTGGATAAATCATCTGGATGGTGTTGTTCCCCTTGGAATGAATACCGAACATTTTCTGGAAGTTGTACCTGATTTGTCTGGTCGGTGTAGTCGACAAGATCAAGACTGATTACTAATTTAGCTCAATGCTGGTGTTGTATCAGACAAGCAAAAGAAATAGTGAAAGCTCTCAAGAAGCGGCTTGGGAACAAGAATCCGCAAGTCCAGCTTTTGGCACTCACGGTCTACTTCTCACTCAGCTTGTGATACTCTGTTATGGCAATTCAGTTTTCTAGAGTTAGACATCACTCTGGGTAATCTGTAAAGTATGGTTATTCTTGCTGGATTTTCAATGCATGAGGATTTTTGAGCGCTTTATCAGTATGCTACTTATGGTATTATTAAACAAAGAGGTTTGGATGTCATAGTTTCGGGTGTGTGTATGTCTGTGTACTTTTGCAGCACTTGATAAGCTGGTTGATATTTCTCTTGTAGGTCCTAGAAACCTTGATAAAAAATTGCGGAGATTATGTGCACCAGCAAGTGGCTGAGAAAGATGTGCTGCACGAATTGGTCAAGCTTGTTAAGAAAAAAGTAAGTTGACGGATTGCTGTTGATATTTACTAGTATATGTTGGCGGCATCTATGTTTGATTGCCATGTGCTGCATATTAGTTGCATGCGCTTTTTACCTCCTTTTTTCTAACAAGATGTTCTGTGCTGAAGAATTTGTAAAGTTCCCCTTATCATTGGTTAACGAAAAGTAGCAGAGTATCAAGGTGATTATGCTAATTAGTGATGTATTGGTTGTATGTATTTGCTTCATGCTTTGTCAGGCAGAAATGCGGGTGAGGGACAAAACTCTTGTTTTATTGGACTCGTGGCAAGAAGCTTTCGGGGGCGCCAGTGGTCGATACCCACAGTATTACATGGCATACAATGAATTGCTGGTGGGAATAGGTTTTTACTTTCCTAATAGTGATTAAAATTCTCATAATAGTGTGTTTGGCTGCCTTCTTGATCTGGTTATTCGTTTTGGCTCTCCTGTACTATGTATCATCAAATAGTAATGTCTGGTCACAACTTTGTGTTATTAAGAATGTTTCCAATCATAATTATTCTTTACCTCCAATTTCAACACATATAGTCTTCTGCAATACCTTGATCGTTTTTTATTATTTTATTATTTTATTATTTTATTATTTTTTTCTGTCTGTGTTTGCCAGAAAGCAGGCGTTGAATTCCCACGACGCACAGGAGAGGCAGCACCGCCCATCTTCACTCCGCCTCAGTCACAACCTCTCGCTAGTCCTCGTCCACTGCACCAACATGGACCAAGATCATCAGCACCACCTACTCCAAGGCCAGATGACACAGAGGCCTCAGTAATGAGGTATTTTCTGAATCAATGAGTTTTAGTATAGGGTTATATCATATTTGCAGCTGTTCGAGTTTATCCTTGCACCAATTCCAGGTAGGAAGGTATGAATGTCGTTTCTTGTGGGCCTGGTTTGATTTTACTAATATCTGATAGATTCTATTCTGTTTTATTACATTCTGGGGTGCGTGTTTTCTTGTTTACTCTGATTTTCTCACAGTTCATTTCGTTGTGTCACAGCTTGCAGGACATTAAAAATGCGCAAAATCTGGTGGAACTCTTACAGGATATGATTTTGGCTCTGAATCCACGAGATCGAATGGTATGCATCTCACCCTTCACAATTCTGTGGGTTTAGTTTATGTACCGAAAATAAGGTAATGGTCTAGTTTGGTTGGATGTCATTACATAATGGGGCCTCATTGAGTTGGTAACGTGTAGAATGAGGTAACAAATTTGAACATTTTCACTCGTTAGAGTTCTGAATGGTACCGCTCCTTTTCTGTAGGCAACTTCAACCGTTATTTCTAGAAAGTAATGTGTGGCTTTTTCTCGACTTTTGTTGGTATTTTTGTTTATTTATGTTATCGACATTTTGCCTTGCCTTTTTCTGCGTCAATATTCCACTGGATATGCACCAAAGATATTCTCTCAGATATCCGTATTGTGTGAGTCGTGCACAAAGTATAGATATAGGATAACGTACCGAAGTGGTTAGTTTGACAATTTGCTGTCATCAATGACATTCCCCGGTCTACGTGCAGTCTGCCAAGGAGGAGGTTATTGTGGAGCTTGTGGACCAGTGCCGAGTAAATCAGCGCCGGGTCATGCAGCTCGTCAACATATCTTCGTATGCCTTCTCCACTTTATATTCTGTTCATGATACAGATAATTATTCACTTCTCTGACCTCTTCCACTTAAAATTACATATAATTCAAACGATAACGTATTAACTCGAGTGAGTTGCACGTGCAGTGATGAGGACCTACTTTGTCAGGGTCTGGCTTTGAATGATGAGTTGCAGCGAGTGCTTGCCAGATACGATGCTTTCTTGTCTGGGGCTCCCATTCCCGAAACATCTACTGAAAGCAAGACTCAGCCTCAGAAGCCTTCTGGTGGGGATGATACCCTTCTTTCTTCCAAGTAAGACAGCATTTCAGTCCGTTTTGTGAATATTGTTTTAGTTGATAGGAAATTTCGCAACTGGTGCGAAGGACAGTTGTGTAAACACTGAAAATTGCAGCTTCATCTTATTGCTTAGCCGTACTAGTTATTTTGATATTTTCTGGTCAGTTTTACAATGCTTAAGTTTAAAAAAAAATTCTGGTGTTAGTGAAAGCCCTGATATCACATAAGCGCATGTTATTCTTGTGTCAGAGCACCGTCTCAAAATTCACCTCAAAGAGCAGGGGCTAATGCAAGACCAGCGAATAGTGCACGGACTATCTACTCAGCCGTCGCTTTACCTCCACCTCCTTCAAGTAAGAAGCCTGTTTCACAAAGTGTGGTGAGTGCAAGACCTGCCGATCCGACAATTGACCTTCTTAGTGGCGATCTCCCACCTACTAGTCAGTCAGAAGCGAGTTCCTCTGATGCTTTGGCTTTGACAGTAATAGATCAACCTCAACAAAAGCAGTCAGTGGATCTCTTGGCTTTGCCTGCACCTGAGGCATTTCCGAATCCTTTTGAGTCTTCGCCTTTTCAGGCTAATCCACAAAAAGAAGCTCCGACCCCAGCATTCCCTCCACAGAGTTTCCAACAGCAACCTGCAACACCAGTGGTACGTTCAGAAAATTCATGGTCTAATACTTCTGCTGCTGGCAATCAGACGCAGCAAGGTTCCTTATATGGTGAGGTTCCAACACAACCAACAGTTTCAGGACAGCCATTGCAAAACCCGCAATATATTTATCCGCAACAGCCAGTAGCCGCAACTCCACCTCCATGGCAAGAGGATATGCAGGCGCCACCAGCAGATCAGCAGTGGCAAGGGACTCCTCAGGCTTCGTACCCGTACGCACCCCAGATGTGGAATGCAGGCCAGCAGTCAGCTATGGCTGGCATGCAACAGTACCCGGGAGCAGGGTATACAGGTTACGCAATCCAGCCGAGTCCAGGTCAGCAGTCATTTCAATCGGCTTACCAAGGTCATCCAGCTTCCAATGATTTATCTAGATATGGCTCTGGGACAGGTCCTGGTGACAATTTTGGTAGTCAGTATCTTAACTCAAGAGGAAGTGCATATGGTCAGTCTACATCACAAAAGTATACTGGATCTTCCAAGCCTTTGAAATCACCTGACACGTTGTTCGACGACTTGGTGGATTTGAGGAGTATAAATGCAAAATTCAAAGGAACCAGTCTTGCAAATAAGACGCCAAATACCAGCAAGGCTAGTCCTCAATGATTTCTAGTCCTTCAACGGTCCTCTGTCGCACTTAGAAGTGCACTGGCCCTATTGTTCCTGGAGTAGGAGGCTCTGCTCGTTTCCGTGACCTCCGCCTGTATTTTCGACTTTTTTTTTTGTGTACTCATGTAAAAATGAGATTTTTCTTCAGTTACCTGCAATATTGAGTCAACCTTTTCTAGCGTAGTCTTCCTCTGTTGTTCTTATGAATTTGTGATCAGGAAACTGTACAGACGTCACAGATGGTAGAACACTCCTTGCTGGAGACAGTCAAGCTTTTTGAGTTGGTGTAGAGGACCATTTCTGGATAATACTATCACGTGCTTCTACCCATCAAGTGTATTTTGACAGATTTGGTATTCAATGGCTGTTGAGCTGTCGGGATGCATGTCTGTTGGGCTTGCTGTATGTGTCGCATCTGGATATAATGTTGCGTTGGTTTCATAGTCAATTTCTTGTTGTCCCAATCGCTAGTCGCCATCACCTTCTAAAACCTTCTGGATTAACTCAGATCAACAATCTTGTCTTTTAGAGCGAGAAGAGAGTACTTCAGAGTATCAGAGACTTAGGAATCGTCAAGGGAACCTGCTTAACAGCCTGAGAACTCCTAAGCCGAAGATGTTGAAGGAATGTAGCCGACAGTATTGTGGCCTCTTTCTTTAACCGGTGGAAATCAGTTCGGATGTTTTACCTCATGGAAATTGCAGGACTTGGGACGAATGCCACTCTTTTCCATGGGACTGGGAATGTAAGGGCAGCATATAAGTTACTGATTGCACTTTCACTCCCTCTTAGTAAGAGGGGGTGGAACACAGGTAACCAATGAAACCCAGGGTTCGCAAGCCATGTATGTCAGCCGGTCTTTCCTACATTGTTGAATTTGTGTATAATCGATGCATCTGAGGCAGAGTGAGCGCATTTGGACATTTACGCTAGATTTCCATGCATGATGTGATCGTTCACGGATGCTGTTGGCCTTGAGGATTTTAGGTTGATCAGTTTGGGGGTTTGAGGTTTGTCAGTTTGTTCGGATGCAAGGGTGGTTGGAGATCGTCAGGTCTACACAGGTCATGGAGGTGTGGGACGTCGTTAGAAGAACGTGGTCGACTGCCACAGTCTGGATTGTTAATTCATCGAGACAACATGACTATGAAACTGTCTTTAGGGGACAATCGCTTTGTGCTAGGAAATATTTTCAGATTTGACGATATAAAACCTGCATGAGCTGGTGTACAATAGTTCCCGTCCTCGTTGTCCGTGATTGTTTATCCACATCTTCTTTTGTTACTAAATCTTGACAGACTGGGTAATTCTCCAGGAGGTCAGGTCATAAAATTCAAGCAAGATGGAGAGGAGAAGTGGCACTTCCACTCTGAAGAGCTTCACTGATTGTTCGCGGGGAATTATTGCTGGTTTCAAGAGTGTCAGCAACAGTGCAACGTGTTGTTTAAATTTTCTGGTGCCAACTATTGTCCTATGCCTGTAAGTTAAAATACATGTTCAGGAAATCGTTTTCTACGAATCAAGTACCCCTTGGAATGCTCAGGGGGTTAAAGGAATAACAGCGTTTGACAATGTATCCATGTTTACCAGATTTTCGTCTAATACTTGACTGATATTCTACTATTTTTGTCTAACACTTAGATTTATTTCTGCCATTTGCTAAGCATAACAAGCTTGGATTTTCACCGGATCATTGATTCTGAGTGCATGTGGTTGAGTGCATTTGTGGTATTCCAAACATGGTCAATGTGCCTTCATGGGCAAGTTCCAGCCTAGGTGTGATTCTTTTATGCATTAATACTGTCACCTCTGGCTGAGGTTATACTCAATTTTGGAGTTCCTTGGCTTGTGATCTAATAGTAACGACAGATCAGGAGTATTAAGATTTGAAAGGTATCCAGTTCTGACTTGATCATGTCATCTTTCTTTATTGTTGCTCTTGCAAAGGCATACATTCTCTTATGCTAGACATGGACATAAAGCTTGATCAGTGTATGAGATCATTGATAGTAGTTGATATTCTTGGCTTTGAGTCCACCAAATATCCATTTAGCATCATAATGCAACACTGCTGCAGTTCAAATGAGATTGTATTTGTGGTCAAGCATTTCTACTCCAATATTCTTGTTGGATCACAAGCCAAGGAACCTCAAATTTGATAGTAAGCTCTGCCAGAGGTAAGAATGAAAATGCACAAAGACCATATTTGGATAGTCACAGATGTACTTGAACACAGGCAAGCAATGATCTGTGATGTAGTGAAGTTCAAAGTTCAAAGCCTGTTAAGGTTAGAAATATGGCAGAAATATGATTCAAATTCCCTCTGCATCCTCTCTTTGCTGGATTGTCATTGTTGATATTTCTTGAATCATACAAAGAAAGCATGTGTCTTTAGCAAAGATAGTGAATACCAAATGTCTCACTTGACAATCAGGTGAGATGCTGTTGTGAATCTCAATGGACTTGCACTGAATATGTGGCAACACTTGAAAGCTTCAGATTTAGATGAAGTTGAAAAAATTGGCCAATGCAAAGTTTATTATCCTGAAAGCTCCTCTTAATTTTTTTTGGAATATTTAAAGTTTTTGGCTAGTACATGTTTCAGGACTAACACATTGGCTTAATTTCTATCAACATTTTTAAAGACTTGCATAGCAGATTAGTTCTCTGCAATAGGGTTGGCAACAACATTGTCATGGTCTTTTGGTACTGCATACTCAAACATATATTACTGTTAAATGGCTGCTGAAAAACAGACTCACATGTTGCACAAAAACCACTGCACCATTCTGCACAATTCTGAATGGTTGTGATATATATATATATATATATATATATATATATACACATATATTACACTTTTTCCATTGTTCACTACAGAGATATTTTTCACAGGAAGAAAACGATTAAGTTTATTATACTAACTACCCAGCAATTGTTGTTTGTATTTTTATAACTAGACATTCCATATCCCTCATCTCCAGACTAGGATTTTGCTGAAATCTTTGAATTGATTTCTATTGGGTATGAATTCTGTCTGTATTTTATGATGTTTGCATCTAGCTATGTGTGCCTTAAGCTGCACTTTAAGAAGAGAGTTTCACATTAAGATTCAATTGTAATATACATATAAATAAAACTCTTTTAGAAGTAGAGTAAATAATTGGATGCCCTAAGTCAAATGCATGACTAGATTATTGTTTTAATATTTATATAAATTTTAAATCTAATTTCATAGGCTCTTGCATTAAATCACCATTAATAATCTTGTCATTCTTTTGACTTTTTATTTTGAATTCATTTACAAGTAGTTTGTTTGGGCATTAAGGGACTAACATCTTGTATTATCCTTAGTTACATGGTTAGATTATGATAGCTAATGATAGAAAATATATTCCAAGGACAATCTAAATAATAAAGCATCAATTGTACTATTATTCTTTGTGAATAAATGGCTTCATGTCCAAAGGTTTCAAGCCAACCATGTATGATGTTGAATCTTAGTTCTTAACTTTGACATTTAGCACATATATACTTTAGCGAGCTTGTGGCTCATGTTGGAATATTTACATTATATTTCTTCATATGTTACTATGTGGATGGAGCATTGCACTACACATCTACCATGCCATAACAAAACAAAAAAGATGCTTTATATAAAAAACTAGTTGTCGCTTTTCATCATATTCAACGCATTGCCCACATTTCTCTATCCAAATGCATACTAATATTATTAAACTTTTTTTTGAAAAATAATTCCTTTTTCCATTCATTCAATAATTTATGTAAGATGAAGTACCTGATGTTATGAAATGCCTTAAATTAGTGTATGTATATTTTTCTAATAAAAGATGCATAAATTCTTGATGCACAGTAGTTGTTGGAAATTGAACAAATCTATTGTGTGTGTCTATGTAATAATAATAATAATAATAATTAGCAGTAGAAGAAGTATTAAAAATGATTATTTACTGGATTTATTGACAAATTGGATGCATTTGTAAATAACTTTCTATCTATTGTGACCACATGGATTGAATCTAGAATGGCTCATCTTTTGTCAAAGACAACTTAAAGATTACATCTTCAGAATTGTTTAAAACAGAACAATGGTTAATATTTTGTAGAAATTTGCGCAGGTGAGCAATAAAAAAAATTAGATGTGCAGTTTTACATTGATGGCTGATTTTCATGTCATGTGTAATTTCATGCACTTAGTCCCGAATAGAATAACTTTCAGATTATATGTATATATATATATATATATATATACAAGTTTTTACTGTAGCATGTGGTTTGTTTGGTATGATTTTTTGGAATAATTGAGGAAATTTATCTGTTTAGTTTTAATTCTGAATATTTTATATCCAACTTTGTTGCAATTTTGTGGTTAAACTATAGAGCATATGTATCTTTGGTTACTTTGACATGTTCACCAAATCCATCAAATAACATTCAAGCAATTTTATAGATTTATTTGTATGATTTATAAAAATGAAATTAATAGAAGAATTTTTAAAAAGAAGTGTTATAAATATGAAAAGCATATTTAAAAAGACATTGAGAAAAATGACTCTAGAATTGATTGACTATTTTTTAGCACTAAATATTGTATGTTGTACTATATATATATATATATATATATTTTATACACGTTAAATTCTAAAATTCTAACACTCCTTTTTATAAAGAGATCATAAAAACAACTTTTAGTATAGAATCAAAGTGGTTAATGTGATGAGTTTAGTTTAATTAATTAATAAGTTCTGTAATGAACATGCTACCATTAATACCACACAAATTAAAATATTTATATTTTATAAATGTATTTTTACAAATTATATTAATAATTTATTTGGATTTTTTATTACAAAGAACTGTGGGTGGGTGTGAGTACATGTATATATTTCATATATTTCATATATTTCATATATTTGTTTGCATATATTTTATTTATAAAAATATATTTTATCAATCATAAATGAATGATACTTCCATGTTAATCTGTACAAAATATTACAGAAAGAGTAATATTGATTATTAACTTCACGATGGTTTCTATTTATTTATTTTTTCTTCTTTGTTAATGAGTCATATTAAAATCTAATTTTGGTTAGAGGTATAATCAATATATTTACAAGTAAAGAAGTTAGTATAAATAATAAACAATAAAAATATATAGTTATGTCTTGCATCTTATCTATAAAAATATCCAGAATATGCTCAAGACAAGCACAACCACGAAGTGACACTTACAACTTGCAGTTGCTAAGAAAAGGAAACATGTGTAAGAACAGTTAGAATACCCAAAATTCTACAACTCCAAATAAAGCCAAAAGTGCAAATAAAATTACCACAGACATGGTGGTTTCATAAGGAATATCTATACGTCACAAAAAAGAGAAAGAAAAGAAATGATTGATGTTTTCAACCCGAAACCCTAAGAATAAGACTGTGTCTCGGTGGACAGATTACTCCCACATTGGTTTGATTTGCACATGCTACCGACACTTGCTCCTTGTATTTCGAAGTGTCTTTCTAAGTTTAGTTTGGAGGGATCCCTTCTAAAATTAGTTGGATGTCCTTCTAAATAAATTAGACGAGCCTCTCTCTTAAGATTGGCAATACCCATCTATCTACTTCTACTTCTACTTTCTCTCTTTTTTTTCTTTTATTTTTTTGTTTTGGGACTTGTCAAGAAGGTTTAACATTTCCTTGTGGTGAGGCTTAGTATCCTACTTTGTAACGTTGGTGAAGGGGAAAATGAAATGACATGTTGTTTGTGTCGTGTATAAAGGTTGTTTGAAAACAAGGAATTTGTTATATTTATTGTGATGTTTGTTTGAAAATAATGAGCATTGTTGTTTGAAATCTATTGGTAGAATAGAAGTAATGCATGTGTGATTAACATTAGCAAAAATGACACCCTATAGAGTATGCATACGACATTTTGATTATTTTTTCTTGAACCTTAGAAATTTATCAAGATACCTATCTTGGTATTAAAAAAACGGTGGTATTTTTTTCATATCTACACACTTTTACCATATTTTTAAGCCTTTAATTTTGTAAAAAAAATATTATGAATATCTTGCAAAATAAATTTAATGTAAACTCTAATCAATTAACATAAAAAAAAATTGCATGAATTTGTTAAAATACTACAAAATTACTCAAAATAGTTGTTTAGTTTCCAAAATAATATGGCTTCCACTACAAGCACATCCCAAATTGCTATATGTACACCCATAATGTCTATATACATACACTCCACCTTGTCTTGCATGGGTCTTGGACCTCTTCACCCTCTTCACCCTCTTCCTTGTTTTGGTGCACAAATCATGTTAAATGCCTTGGATTTGTGCGTAGACATTACGGGTGTGTGTACAATAATAATCAAATAATACTCATGTAATGTATGTTCTTTAATTTAAAAATTAGTGAATTTTATTGTAATTTAAATTAAGATGTAATTTTATTCTATAAAATATGATTAATAAATATATTGATTCACCTAACTGTAGTTCTTCAAATTGCCATCATTGCAATTTCAGTTTGTGTAAAGTATTTGTTGTGATTTACAACACTTGTCTAATGATTTGTAGCTTTGAGTATTTTTGGAGTTTCTGTAAAATTATTTGAAGAAAACATTTATGTTCCAACATATTTTTCAAAAACAAGTCATATCTACATATATTGGTCTTTTAATAATAGTTATGTACTATGATTGTTTTTGAATAAAAACCTTAAGCAAAAATTACTATGTTCACATAGAATGTAGTTATTTTATTTTATATTTATGCAACATATCCAACAAAATTTTCTAAAGATGTTTTCTTTTCTTTTGTTTGTTGATTTCTTTTTTCCTCAAATATAAATTATAGTACTCAAAACAAGATTTTACAAAACCAGAGTAATGATTAAACAACTGTGATTTTTTTCTTTTTTCTCTTTTTCTTTTCTTGCAGTACCCACAGTACTCTTATTCAAATAAACAAAGAAATAAATAAGTGTAAATGGGAATTCAATCTCAAAGAATCAATTTTGAAACAATGGTAGTAAAATGTATTAATAAATAACTTTTCATGTAAGCAGAAAAAAAAAGTTATATTTTTTAACTTTTTTTATATTTCTTTTCTGAAAAAAGACTCTGTATTCTTAACCTAACAAAGGAATTTTAACTGTGTTTATCAAATGATTAGTTTATTTTTTTTATTTTTTTTCAAACTATACTTATTGTAAAAGATCATCTATCATTATTGGAATATTCTGTTCAACAATCGGTTTATTCCCCCTAAAACAAAAGTTTTTTTTGTAAAAATAACATCATATATGTAATTTATGAGCAGAGTCCAAAAATGTTGATTAAGTTAGGTCTTTTCTTTATTTACAAACACTGCAAGATATAGTACCTTTTATTTGTGTGTGTTGTGTGTGTTTGAGAGAGCCTTCAAAAGTTAGAATTACCTACACAAGTGAATAAATTATGGAATGTAATTGTTAATATATATATATATATATTTTAGAAGTAATATAAAAAAATTACTCCTATAATGCCAGTGCTTGGCACTAAAACAATTTATAATATAATTGAGGCTTAAAGTTATACAACATTGAAGAATTATGGCACATACAATCAAACATCATTCCTGCTGCAATGCCACTGAAATACCTGAAAGTGAATATTTACGACTTGCTCAAAAAGACCTTCATGACAATCCCTTAGCTGCTTTTAGAGCAGAGGTATGGATTTTTAAAAAATATATATACAAATGATACTCACCCAATTTATATAATTTTAATTAAAAAACCCTATTATACAAACAAATATACTCTCCTATTAACAGAATCCAAGAATTTTACATATATATATATATGCATAGTTTTTGGATTTTGTTGCTACAAGAATGCATCAAAAATGGTTTTTGCAAAATGTTTTTGACATTATAGCAACAAAGATTGAGAAAAATATCAGCAGAGAGAGCTTCAAAATGGCCAAATACACTTGCCAATCTACGATTATTGAGAGAAAAAGCAAGACAAGACAGACTGAAGAAAGAAGAAGTAATCCAATAATGTAATGTTATGCAATTCTTTAAGAGAAAAAACTAAATAAAAAGAACAGAAAGTACTTATTATAAAAAAAACATATCTCACAATTATTACACGGTTTGAAATTCAATACAGAGTCTTTGTCATGCGCTTACAATACACAGACCCTGTGCTTGTTGCACATCTATATATATATATATATATATATAATCCTAAGTTTATCAAAATATTCACATGAATTGAAATAATGTAGGACGATCTGATAAGGATAGATCAGGAAAATGTGGCTATTCGACATAAAGAGCGACTTGAAAAGGTAAACCTTGATTAAATTTAATCAACACGACAAATGTTTCTTTCTTGAAGCATTTTGATTAATTTTGTGTGATTAGCAAAGATTGCATAAATGTAATAATAAGCTAAAGATAACTACAATGATTCATGCAAAAGTCAAAACAACGGATAAATATTCGATGTGCATTGATTAGGTATAATGTAAATAAAGACAAACTACACCCTAAATTAAGTCTTTCGATTGAATTTAAAGTTTGGAATTATTCTATATACTCTAATTTAAAGAATATTAATGTGCATTTTGAGCAAAAAACATTATTTCTAAAATCGTAACATAGATAAAACTGGTGTGCATGGAGAAATTCTTGTCCTCGAATCTTATTTAATTAGATTGTGGATGATATTTATGATCTAATATCTATTTTATAAGTTTTTTCAATTTATCTGCAAAATTAATCACTATTCACATTAAAAAGAAAATCTATGATTTAAAAAATGAAATTCTCACAAGTATTGTGTGCTATTCTTTGGAATTATATACGTGGTAAATTTGGATGCAATTACCATGAGTTTTTGATTAATTGAAAGGATAACACTTTTGTTATACAGATTAACAAAGCAAATTTTCTCCTAGAAAGAGTGCATGTGAAATCACTTCAATCAAAGGCTTGGATAAATGATGTTTTGAAAGTAATTTCAATGTTATGCAAATTTATAAGTATGCATATATATGTATATATATATATATATATATATATATATATCCACACACACATCTTTTAAACCATTATCTGTATTTTTAATTATAAAGAATTAATGAATGTCATTAAATGTATTTAAATGTAACTTGTAATATTTTTTTTGTGTATTTTATGTAATAATGGAAGAAAAATTGGAATATTTATAATTTATGTATAAATATACATGCATGTATTCATATTTTAAATTTAGAAAAACATTTATTGGACAAATTAATTAGGAGCGTGCAGAACAATGTAAGATTCAAAAAATATGGAAACAAAAGTGGGCCGATCAAGATGCTTACTACCATAATGAAATGCTAAAAAATTTATCAAAGTATGATAATGAAGAGGAGTTTAAAAATAAGAAAGCTTATGAAGCAACCCAATTGTTATTAAAAGCCCAAAATGAACAGGTTTTCAAATTTCACATTAAAATTCAGGACCTCTTTCAAATGTTTACTTTTTCTTTTTGCATTAATAAAATACTGAAATTTTCCACAAAATACACAATACATTGGTTATGTCATTGCACAATCCAAAGCTACTTAAACTTGACATTTTATTACAATTAATTTTACACAATGTTTTTTTTGTGATTTTGGATGTGATGTGTATTAGCTTGAACAAGTTCACAAGAAGCAAAAAAAGGAGAAAGAAGAAACCATGATAGAAAATGAAAAAATGAAAAAGAAAATTGCAGAAATGAATGCAATTGATGATGCTGAAAAACAAAGGAAAAAAGACATGGCCGTGGCAATGACCAAAGAAATAGTAGCATCTAACAAAAAACTAGGAGTATGGCTTTTTGAAATTGTCTTCATAATAATACTTGATAATACATGCATTGGTATTTTATAACATTTTCATATTTTGAATTTTTTATTAAGAAATAATTTAGGATTTTATGATTAATTTGAACTAGTTCACTTATAGAGTAAAGGAGATAAAGAAAGAGAGATGGATGAAAAGCTTGAAAAAGAAATTGAAACTTATACTAGAAAGAAAAAAATGCAAAGCATGGAGCTAAATAAAATAAAGGACGCCAAATATAAAGCAAAAGCAAACCATGAAAGTGAAATGTTTGATAAACTTGACAAGGTTGAACCACAATTACAATTACAAGTTTATTAGAAGTAATTGTGATAAAGAAGTAGTGATTTTAAAAGTTGGTATTAATTGGGAAATTTTCCAGTACAGTTTTATTGTATTAAAGTAGATGTTAATTACGACATTATTTCGTCTACTGATTGTAAATTACAAAACTTATTTTACTCTTGTAAAATATCAAAATATTCTATACTTTCTTAAATGTCTCTATTTAATTTATATTTTACCCCAATAGATTTATAAAACTCAAACAGCGAAATTCAAAGAAGATGAAGAAAAATATAGGAAAGCTAAAGAAAAGGCGGATGATGAGGCTCTTGCAGCAAAACAATTAAAGTCCAAATTATTATTAGCAGAATGTCATAAATCACGACAAATTCAAGTTAGTATTTTTTCATTATTTGATGAAATTTTCACATTACAACCCATACATAAAGCTTCAATATAATTAGAATTATGATATTAAGATTATAGATAAATAATGGGAGTTTCACTTAGTAATTTAATTTTCATGTGAGCATAGGTGTTTGTATATATATATATATATACCTCAATAACATTTTTAAATCAAAAGAAATGGAACATAAATTTTGATGAATACTTTGTTGACTAAATGGGATCCAATTTATTTAGATTGAGGCGAGAAATAAGTTATTGGAAGAAGAAAGGAAAGATTTACAATTTGAAGATGAACATGTGTTACAACACATACAAAATTGTATTGAAGAAGAAAAAAAGGCAGAACTTGATGTATTGAACATGAACAAAAGAAATGCCGAATTTCTTATGAATCAAATGGTGGGTGTACACTCTCATGAGTAAATTATATTTAAAAGTAATTGAAATAGTCTAAAGTTTTATTCAAATGAAACAAGATGAAACAAATAGCATCTAATTTATAATGTTTTAATTTTAATCACAAAGTTTCATTATTTATTCACATATTATACTTGACATGTTATGGTAAGTAAATAGTTCAGGTGTAATACCTTTTATTTTTTATTTTCATTTTTTTAGAAATATAAACGAGAAGCAAAAAGAATTGCCAAAGAAGCAGCTCTACATGAAGATATTGAAGCATTGATTCAATTGAAGGCTGATGAGGAATACTTACAAAATCTTAAATTTGAGTGATTTTTTAAAACATGGAATTTACTTGGTCATTAGTGTTTATTAAAGAATCATTTATTGATGAGATATATTTTTCTTTTGCATCCATTTGTTTTTACTTCAAATGTTGAATATGAATTTATAGTTTTTTGTCAACATTTTTAATGTCCTTATTAATCAATAATTCTAATTTATAGATAAATAGTTCTAAAATGTTTGACAATAGATTAAATTTGGATCCACTGCAATCTACACGTTTTGTAAGAAAAAATTGGTAATACTACATTACAATTTTTCAGATACAATGTCTTTATACATATCTGTATGGTAATGTTTTAATTATAATTTACCATTAATTTAAATTTCAAATCAATGAGTAAAAAAATTAAATTAAATTAAATTTATAAAATTAAGTTATCCATACTATAAAATAATTTGTAAAATTTATTAAACTCGTTGTAGTTTTTTTTCTATTAAAAAATGTATATAATCTAAAATCATAAATTTTTAATATAAAAATTTGATTTTTATGGTTGAAATTTATTTGAAAAATATATTCATGATATATATTGACTTTTATTTTCTCAAATGTTTTCTCCTAAAAATAATGTTTGTACTTTATAATGTTACAACTATCAATTTACATATATTTAATAAAAGAATATTTAATATATTTGTATGTAGAAGTAATGAAATTAGATTAACAAAAAAATATGTTTTAAAAATAATATAGTATTGATACAATTGTTGCTATATACAAAAAATCTATTAAATCTCAAACTAAGTTTCAAGTAAATAAGAAACATTAGTAAAATTAGAATTTTGATAAATCTTGTTTTCATTTATAAAGGTGTTTTTGTGCTACCATCCTTCATTTTCAAATAAAAGTAAAAACATCTTCCATCTTTGTCCAACAATCTTATTCAATAAGATCCCATGTTCTCACAAAACAATGCCGCTAGAAGTCCTATCTCTATCTTTAAATGACCTTCAAAGAAGCTCTAATGGAGGTAGAAGACTTTGCCAAAGTTGGAGAATGTATGAAGAATGAAAATTGCCCATTTGGAGATTTAAAATGATTGATTTTATTTACATCTAGAGCAATGAAAACTTACAATGAAAGAACAATAACTAAGGAATACAACTAGGACAAGAATGATCTATCTCTATTATGTGATTGTTTAGAGATATTGGGAAATATATCATGGTTAGGATCATAAAATTGTGAATGCTTGCCACATCTACAATCTAGTTGAAAATAATGCAATCTATCTTGTGGCAAGAAGAATTATTGCAATCTAAAAGCAAATGACAACTTCATTGTTGAAAGTGAGTGTTGTCTTCAATATCATTGCAAAAATCTTCCATCTTATCAATTGCCCAATGTTATATAAAGATGTTTACAATCAAAGAGAGGTGAGGCTTCCAACGGCATTGTGTTGTTAGAATGAGGAATTATGTTAAATACTGTTTTTCAATGAAGATGCAAGATTGTTTTATGCTTATTAAAAATGAAGGGTGATGTCTTGCTAATGTAGTGATAACCTAAAGGTGATGTCCGTCCAATAGTTCTTTTATAAATCAAAACTTAGTACCTACTTTAATAATGTTTCTTTAAGTAAGATTCTTAACCTTGTTATTAGTATTTATGTACATATATACACATAAGTAAATATATTTTTTAGGAATGCAAATGCATGTTACTAAAAGTTTTTGTAACAAAGTTTGCATACTAGTTCTTGCTTGTAAAACACAAATCAATGATAATAAATTATATTTGATTATTTTAATATATATATATATATATATATATATTTTTAATGAAAATGTTAATAAATGGATATCATGTTTGAAGTTTTAAGAATTGAATGAAATTTTGCTGCAGAGATGAGCATATATATATATATATATATACATATATATATGTACACACACATACATACAAATGTATTAATAATGCAAGTAGAATAGTTATTGAAATGACCATTCATAATGCAGAAACAAAAAAATAAAAAAATTTGGCTCAGATTTCTTGAAAAAATATACTGATCAAGTAGGATTAGTCTAAAAACTTTATACCAATTAGGTTTTCTACTTGGGGAATGGTTTTTCAAACTATAAATAAAAAAAAATATTTATATATATATATATATTTTTTCCCAACAGGGAAACAAAATAGAATTGATTTGAATACACGTTTTTAAAATCTGATTCGAAAAGCATTCATTACACAATGCTAACAAGACAAGACAAATAATAATCTAAATGTTGTCATATATTACTCGTGAATGGGTTTGCAGATTATTCCTTTATAATCATGGCGATTAATTTTTGTCAGATACAAAATACTATAACTAATTAATTAATAAAAAGTTTGTGGAAGTAAATGGTAGGAATAGTTTTTATAATGTCATATTATTAATCAACAACTTTGTTGGAGCTCCATAAATTATATATATATTCATCCGCCATGGATGAGAAACTTACGGCGAAAATGAATGAACATTCGCAAAACGAACGGCACCCAGAGGAGGCGCAACCAAAGACGAAAGAAGACATTCATCCACATGACGAGGATTGGGTGGGGGGTGATGGGATTGGCCCATGCGAGGCCAGTGGTAGACGGGTGATGATGAGAGGAACACGGAGTTCCCATCCCGTTCCCGCGTTCTCCACCCCTGGTTCCCCACGGAAGAAGGGGCCGCAGGGCTTCTTCTTCTTCATCTTCTTCGGATTCGCTGGCTTTGTCTTTGTTGTGCGTTCTTTGCTGTGTGTGTGGTTTTTGCTGACGCTCCGATTCGCGCTCGTATTTCTACCGTCTTCCGCTTCACAGGCTTGTTTGCCGCCTTCTATTGTCGTCGACGCTGTCTCTGTGCTTTCCGATGCGGTTTCTGCAACTGGAGGAAGTTTTCGGGGTTGAGATCGGTGGAGTGTGGAGGTAGTTTGAAGGGTGGGTGCGAGGAAGGGATTTTGAAAGAGGAGGGATTTTGAAGAAGAAGAAGAGGAAGAGGGAGAGAGAGGAGGAGGAAGCGAGCGTGTAACTCTTCCCTGAGAGGCTTGGATTGGGAATGAGTGTGGAATCCAAGACTGGCACGGATGCACACGAGTTCGCTTTGCACCGGGTTGTTGTCATCCCTCACGTGGTGTTTGCAGCTAGGATGTCGGGAGGGGTCAATGTGCTGTGGAATGTTCCGCTCTTTGAGATTTGAGTGACCCCTTACCTCGTCTGCCAGTGAGGCCGCATGCAAAACATTCCATTCGTGTGGGGACGACGAAGCTCTACTGTTGGTTTCTGCGCTATGCGTCGCTAGGTTTCCAGACGCCACTCTGTGCTCTCTCTCTTCAGGTTACTGGTTTCCCGGAATGTCGCTACACTGCTCATGTCCGTGGTGACCCCGTTGTCATTCTTGGCTTGGCCTCTTTGCTACTGCGCGGGTGGGGCGCTCTAGACGGGATGGAGTAGGGACGGCTCTTCTGCCTAGGACGTCATCTCAAGCTTTCTGGTGGAGATTGTGGGGGGCTTTCTTACAATCTTGAGGGCTATTTGAGATTCTCTCGAGTCTTTGAGCTGCTGAAGGTTTGGGGAAGAACAGCTTAAATACTTTCGTCCAAATTTGTTGCCGTTGGTAGGAATTTCGGTTAGATTTTTTTTCAGACTTCGTCAGGATTTTCAAGCTGGTTGGTTTGGGGACGCTTCAACCTGACTCTCCTAGTCCATGAAGGATTCTTCCCTACTCTCTGCGAGTTGTTCCTGATTTTTTCTCGATTCCCACACTTCTAGCCACTTGTGGCTCGTGATCTCTCCTACAAAGGCTTCATTTTGTGTGAATTAGAATGGAGTGTGGAGGTGCCTGTGGCATTCACGTCTTTATTCGTCATCTGAGGTGCCTTCACTTTCCTCACAGTCTGCGAGTGGTGCGATCTCCTCCATACGGTTGAGGCACATTTTCCCTGGCCACTATCTCAGGCTTTATTTTTGAGGATCTCCTGAAATTACTCGACTTATCCTGACCAAGAATAATTTCCGTCTTCCGTCCCTCCCTAGTTGACCTTTTGCATTGAGACCAGCTGCAGGAGAAGTTCACCTGCCAGCTTACAATGCAAGAGTCTAGCCTAGATAATCCCATGACTGTATCAAGATCCACCACCAACCCCCCTGGCCCTGATTTGGCGCTTCACATCAGCCCACCGAATAGCAGCAGCGACACACGGCCTAGAACCTGTCTACCGCAGAATGTTAACCAAGATTTACCCGAGCATGTCCATGGCTTCGATCTTTGGAGACAGTCTCCGAAACCTATGAGCTCCTGCGCTGACAGTGAGAGCAATGCCTCTAGCCCCAGAATTGAGCGATGTTCTTCCTACTTGGATAATGTGGGAGCATCCACTGTACTGTGTCTGGCGAATCCCCCACCCTCCGATCCACCGTTTCTCAAACGAGCTCCAAAGGGTATGACCCTTGGAAGCATGGAAGAAGTGCAAATGAACATACAGGAAAATCGATATCTGGGTAGTGACCATGCCCATCCTTTCTTGCTGGACATGGACAGCAGGTCAGAGACGAAATACACTGGCACAGATGCAAACAGGACATGCTCACCATCTGAACGGGTGCGTCAGGACTTTCGGAGGATGTTCACGGGCGAGATCCAAGATGATTTCTCCAGGAGGTTGAATGAGAATTATATGGATCACCTTCCTTTACAGCAGAGAGTGTTTCCGCCAGCTCCTTCGCCTTCTGTCATTCACGAGCTTTCATTGGGTAGGCTGAGCGATCCTGTCGTGCCATCGGGCGGTTTGTCCAGACCTGACTGTTTGAAATTGGGGAACTATCATGTAGGTGAAAGGGAGCCTGGCCCAAGGTTCCCGAATTTCTACGGTTATGACGATGATAATTCCCGTCGTGTTGAGAAGGGCGGCCCTGGCCAGCAAGCCTCGACATTGCCTGGGAATCCATCAACTTTCTCTGGTAATATTAGGGAGGGCTACAGTGCTAAACAGGAGGGTATTTATGCGAACCTTGCTTTTCGTTCTCGCTTTCCGCTTAAGTCACCGTGCAAACGCTCGATACGAGCTCCGAGGATGAGGTGGACTACTGCCCTGCATGCATACTTTGTTCAAGCGGTGGAGCTCCTTGGTGGCCATGAAAGTAAGAGCAATAGGGATTCAGTTTGAAACTGATTTAAGTGTGAAAACACTATTCAGCTATCTTGTAATAAATTAAAGTTTTGAATTCTCTGTAATCCCTTTCATTTTGCGGCTCTTCAAGACTCGGATCTTATTGTTACTTATTTTAATATTTACGCAGGAGCAACACCGAAATCTGTTCTGGAGCTGATGAACGTGAAAGACCTTACCCTGGCTCATGTGAAGAGCCACTTACAGGTCTGTGAATTGACTCATCTGTCATTTTCGATGCATTCGTTCCATTGACTCAATACTCAGCTTCGGTGCCCTCTTGGAGTTCTGAGGATGTTCCGTTGTTTTGGGTGAGTGCAGATGTATCGGACTGTGAAAACTTCCGACAAGTCAGGTCGTTCTCCAGGTTGGATTTCAAAATATGCTTTGTGCTGTTGTTAAACTTTGTTAACCTTACACAGTTAAATTGTTTCACATCTAGTAAGGGCTGCCACTTGCGAATTGTTTTGGTCCGACACATATAAACCTTCTCCAATTCTCAGGACTGTTCCGTTTCTGCAGGGCCCGGAGACTTGGTCCACTCACCGTCTCCTGAGGCAAGGTCACCAAGGGAATCTCGGCTTATGAGCGACAGCATCTCCAAAACGAGTAAAAGCATGTACATGTCGAATTCTGGTGTACACAACCTGGAACTGGGCAACTACCATAATTTGGGCGACGGTCAAGATGCGACTGTGGCAATGCAGAAGAAAGTCTGGCTCCCAGAAGCTCCTTCAAAATACAGCCCAACTCAAAGAGGTAATCTTCTTGGGCTCCAATAATCTGACAACGGAAACTTTTAAACTATCTGAGCTAGTGATTGCTGTTGGTACTAATGTGTTCTTTGTCACATACACTACAACGCTTGTGTTATACTTCGGTTCATACCCCTTAGCAGTACACAATTGATGCGCATCGTATATTTTTTTGGCCTTGAAGCGATAATAAATTTCTATCCATTCTCTGTGGAAGCATTTTGATCCCACTTTCTGTGGATTTGATTTTCAACAGGCTGCTGGAAGTTTGGGACTCTCAGCTGTTGAAGGTGATACTGTTATGGACATTGCGAGTTAAATACTATGTGTCTGAGGTAGCTTTTTCTCGCGCATATCGTACAAAAATAATACTGCGTGCTACTCGATTATGTGATATCGATTGAGAGTGAGGTACTACGTTTCAGTTATACTGCTGTTTATTAGGTATAATTATGCAGGGTTATGTAGCAATTCCTATCCAGTAGTCTGAACATATGTGCTAGATTGTTTAGACTTTCTGTATGGTTTGTATCTACTTAATTTACGTGTACCATGTGCAATGGGGCCCATTGTTGGCAGCCATGCTGCTTCTTGTGCTGCTGAAGTAAAGTAAATGGTTTATAACTTAGTCCCCGGGATTTGTTAAATATTTGTTTACTTTTGTTTGCGGATAGTTATATTCTACAATTCACACTCCAGTCGCCGTGGCCCTTGGTTGTCGTAAGAGACAACTACAGAAACCCAGTTCGTTTTTTTGGTGGTGGCTGTTTGCGGCTCCTGGTTGTTATCGGCACATTCTTTACAGATAAAAATCGGGAAAAACAATGATATTATTAGTGGACGCCCGTAAACCACTGACCAAGACACGTTAATGAGGCGTATACCATCAAATACAATTGGTTCCTGGCAGCTAGGATTGAAGCATACATTCCTTGCAATGTAAATATTACGTGTCAATTCTTCTGCCAAATCCTGCTATTGGGGATTTGTACGCTGTGTGTTGGCGCAGCCCCTGCAAAATGACTATCGTAAACATACGGCAGGATTAGCAACTTCCTTTATGAACACCTCAGCCAAGATGGGCTCGTGTATTAAATCTCACAAGAATATCATTGGCCCAAGTCCCAATTCTCTTCATGCGGGTCTGCCTTCCATTCTATCTCCATGACAAATTCAGGTCTGGAGCATCATTGGGAAGGCTATATAATATTCTAATAAGTGAAGTGCACAAACTACATGGGGGCGGTAAACTTGACAAATGGATAAAAGCAGGTAAAAACACACATTCTCAGCATGCTCTGGCTTGGGGGATGAATTGACAGGAAAGCAATTCCCAGCTCATGGCAAAGCGTGTGGTTAGCCACATCCACTTGAAACTCCTGTAGCTCACCTTTATTTGATTGGATTGTGGAACAAAATCCACACGCAATCCATTGGCTTCTGAAATAGTCTTTCTGACAAGGCCACCTGACTGCACCGTACGGACGGAGTAGCCACGAGCTTGACATTTTTGAAAGAGCCACTTATAGATTGTTGAATTGACAAGCTACTTTACTGGAGTTGACCACTGCACAGATTGGCTGGTGTCACCGCTAATGCGGCCAATTCCACTGGCGGGTTTGAAAGAGCTCCTACCGCGCCTGCGTTCTCGATCCGGATACAAATGAGATTCTCGCCTTTTCGTTGACAAGTGAATTACTTCCGTTAGATCGTAATTCCGATTCCCTCTCTCTACTCGTTGTCGTGAAGTCTGTCAGCAATGATAAATACCCAGAGAGGACAAAAGGAATTATTCCTTCGGATCTGGGTATAAATGGACGCTGCAATCACTGCTCACTGTCTGCCCTGTCAGAAACGTGTAGAAAGCCGAACTCCACGTTCGATGAGCAGAAGTTATTATAAAAAAAATAATCAAGCCTTGAAAAAACATTCGGACCGCTTATTCTGGGTCCAAATTTGGTTTAAGGCAGTATAAAAAGTATATATCGCTTCCGAAAACTGTGCTGTAGAGTTCAAAGCTTAAAAAACCCATACCCTATACAAAGCCACTCGGATATCTAGTGGCGGACTTGCCTCATCTCAGGGCGAGCTTTTGGCGAAGGACGTCCATTATAGAGCCGAAGTCATCAGGCACAGTGACAGGAGGATTGGCAAACTTGCTTGTGATCTCTGGCAGTTCACTTGAATGGTAATCTACTTTAGATTGGGTAAACTTAAGCCCATGAGCGGTGCTGACAACGACTGTTCTATCATTTGCGCCGATGACACCACGTCCCCTCAGTTTTTGCAAAGCGACCAATGCAACTCCTGTATGTGGACAAGTAAACATTCCAGATTTATCTGCTTGTGCACAGACGTCCATAATTTCTTGTTCCGTTGCTTCTTCTACAATACCATCGACCTGAGACAAGGCGTGGATTGCTCTGTCAATGGATACAGGATCTCCAATCTGAATAGCTGATGCGAAAGTTGGAAGTGCTTTGACTGGCTTGAAGGTTTCCCAACCGTCTTTGTATGCCCTATACAGAGGGTTCGCGTTTGCCGCCTGAGCACAAACTAGTTTAGGCATTCTGTCCACCAAGCCCAACTCCTTGCACATGTAAAAACCCTTGTAGAATGCATAAATGTTTCCAAGGTTACCTCCAGGTACAATCACCCAGTCTGGTACCTCCCAATCAAATTGCTGCAATATTTCGATGGCGGCAGTTTTCTGGCCCTCAAGTCGAAGACTGTTGAGAGAGTTTGCGAGGTAGATGGGTAGCTCTGAAGTCACCTCTCTGATGAGCCGCATGCAACCATCAAAATCTGTGTCCATGCTCAGAACCAAGGCCCCATTAGCAATTGGCTGCACCAGTTGAGCTATGGAAATCTTGTTCGCAGGTAGGAAGACAATGGCAGGAATTCCTGCAGCTGCACAGTATGCTGAAAGAGCTGCAGATGTATCCCCTGTTGAGGCGCATCCCACGCCCAGAAGAGGCTTACCCAACTTTCTCAACCTATTTACCTGAGAGACCAACACAGTCATCCCAAGGTCCTTAAATGAACCTGTATGGCTGATACCGCAGTGCTTCACCCACAAATCACTCATGTTCAGTGCCTGCAACACCGCCACAACAGTAAAAGGTGAATGTGGGAAATACCTGAGACAGACAGACAGACAGGTTCCCTATTACAAAAATCACGTTTGCCACATGTACGTTTGAGTAACAATACCTCACTTACAAGAGAACATGAGAAGCAATATTAAAAATGTGTGACCCTATGGCTGCTACACGTGATGATTCCTGTAGTACTTCTTGTCCAAAATCGTAGCACTGTAATACGTCGACTACCCCTTAAGTAAACGAAAAGAAAAGAAAAGGAATTGAAGTGTGTCACAGATAGACATGTGTCTAGAGGAGCCAACTAACTACCTTCTGTCACTGTTAGGAGGTTTAAAAACTACAACTATGATGAGGGGGACATGTCAAAAAGCATGAATTCCCCGTTGCCCAAAATAGTATCTGCGCTCAACCCTTTCAATCTTGTGTAACCCAAATTCAAGTGATCCATGCTAAAAATTGTTGCTCAGGATTACAAACACTGGCATAGACTCGCGAGCCAAACTGACAACCTACCCTCATAATCTCTTCAGATCCGGAACACCTAGACGTTCATAGTTAGTTCAATGTAATTTTGAATAAGAACGAACCACAGCTACAAACGTAGAGGTAAATCTCAATGTGTCACCATTTCTCTGACATTCAACACCACAAAATAGGTTTCGCAGAAAGACTAACTGAACATTCTTAAGCAGGATCCTGGAATGAATGAGATCATCAAAACCATCCGAGACTTGTTGAATCTGATTTGTCCTGATTTTTTTTTTTTTTTTTTTTTTTTTTTTTGGTATTCCAACGAGCACTTCAAGTGAAAAATTTTAGACGTTAATAGAAATTCAGAAATGTAATAACACGCACCTCTTTACCGAAACGCTCAGCCCAGAACAAGTTGGAATTTCCTTCAAACACACTGACGATGTCATCATCATCAATCTCCGGCAACACCCACTCCTTTTTGCTCCACACTCCGGAGCCATACGGCCACGTCGTCTTCCCCACTCTCGAATCGAACAATTTCTTCCAATAATTCCCATCTCCAGCCCTCCTCAAAGCCTCAATATCATGCTGAACATCCAACAACGCCCCGGTCTTACTCCTGTAAATCACCTCATCTAATGAATATTCCTCGTCAGTCTCCTGCCCAGGACAAAATGGCACGTACTTGGCAGAAAATGTGGTCGGAGAGCAGCCAGCCCCCTGTCGACGAGCCTCGTCCCTGATATTCTCATTTCTACTCTTCATAGATGAACTGGGTCCGTTACTCTCCGAAATCGGTTTCGAAGAATCGGGGGCGACCTCCTCCAAGGACACCGCCTGCGCTCCTGGTACATTCTTAGCTACTTCTTGCGACGATGGTAACGCATCGGCTCTCACCAATCCCGCGCCCCTCCTCCCGGCGTTCACTTTCGTCAGCGGCTGCACCATCCGTGTGCCCTTCCTATGCGTCCCTACCATCACAAACGACTGCGAAGAAAGCCCATCGCACACGACGAATCTGGACTTCGTAACGCCTAACCCCAAACTCGCCGAACTCGACGTGACCGCCACTGCTCTCACCATTGTTGCTGAAATTTCGCACAAATTCTCGCAATTTCGCGCAAATTCGTGAAACCAATGTCGCCTTCCAGTCAGGTAGACAACCCACGAAGTTTTTTAAGGGTTGGGGGGGCAGAAATCACCGAAATGAGCCTTGAATCCGGCGTAGAGAAGCCTCTTCCAAGCTTGAGAATGAGGACGTGCATTGTCAGGGTTGCCAGTGTAGACAGGGGCCTGGGCTGGGCAAGGAAGGGCGGTTTGCCCCGGCACGTACTTGGCCCTAAAACCCTCAACCCAACCTTGACGTCGAAGAACGGCCCCTGTATTCGTCCATTTTTAGACGAATTAACATTCTTCATCATTATTCGTTCGCCAGTTGGCGCGATCTGGAGGCTCGTCACCGTTTTGGATGCGGCTTTTCGTAGCAGTGTCATCCTGACCGTTCCCTCTGGATCCACGTGTGACCACGTAGTGTGCCTTTTGCTGGCATTGACCTCTCCAAACGTGCCCTCGTGGCTTGCTTTTGCTTTAAAAGTTCTGCGAATTTGTTTGAAGTTCATTTCTTTACAAGTTTAGGGCAGCTTCATTGTTACGGCTTGTAACACTAGAAGGATTTTGGTACTTAAATTTGTTCACTATAGAATGCTTCACTATTGCATATAAGACAAAGAGACAAAGAAGTCTTCTAATTGGCCAAATACAAGAACATAGGAATATAGATGAATACAAGAATGGATAGATGGTAGTGTCCAACAATACAAGTTTCCGCATGTATAACATAAACAAATAGGTTATCATCCTTACCTTCATTTAGTTTCTTATTTTTTAAATTTATATAATTTTTTATCTATTAAAAAAATAATAATCTCTAAAAAGATTCAAAATTTATCACTATTAAAATATAAAAAATAATAATGACAACAATCATAATATTATTTATTTTATTGAAATTTGATTATATGATCTATTAAATAAGACAATTCAAAATATTTACATATTCCTTCTATACACATATATTTATTGATAAAGTAAAAATTAAAAAAAATATTAAATTGATACACTTAACATTTGAATTCATATAACTATTTCTATTTTACTTCCATATTGTTGTCAAGGACAAAAACTAGAAGAAGATGCATAAACTCGTCGAATTTGTGTGAAAAAGAAAGTGACAAAATAGAAGAAAGTATGTATATTCAAGGAAGAACTGGAATGACTATTGCCAAAGACTAGAAAACATAAGACTCTTGAAACTAGACTAAAAACAAGAAAGGAGTTGACAAGAGTGAAGAAGGCCTTATCCTTGCTTCTATATATACTACTTAACTAAGAAATATGTAGTGACATGCTATAAGACGTCTAATACACGTCCAACTTGCAAGACACATGTCTAATTTGCAAGATAAGTTTCCTAGGTTTGCCATATGTCTTGCTTGTATTATAAGTGGTCAATATGTCGACATGTGGTGTCCTTGTTGGCCAAGTTTTTAACCTATCAATCACCTATAGACATGTATAAAGGCAAAGCAACATCTATAAAGCTTTTAGGAAGCTTTCTACAAGATATTATCATATTTATCTACTTTGACTTACTTCTACCTATTTTTATTATCTAGATAATTATCAAGATAAATATGTATGTCCGTGACATTATTCCCCTTTCTAAGGACGAGTTCCATGAGGAGCTATGATTATATATTGATGAAGTTCAAAATGCACCAAACTATATTTGCCACGTACACTGATCTTTGTTCCCTTTGAAGGTAGTTGATAGGTGCCTTCAACCATCAATAATATCCCATACTAAGGCGAGAAGACCACCTTGATATTTGATCATTATTGAGGTCTTCATAACTTCCTTCAAACAAAACATTAATAATACCATCAGCAATAGTTCCTACCTCCAAAAGTATCACTAAACATCAAGAGTTCCTTCTAAGGTTGTGGTACCAAATGCATTATATCTTGCCATCTATTCGAAGAAGAACATGCCATTCTTGAGACTCTTCATCTCGATTTTGCCATCTCAAAGGTTGTGATAGTTGTAATGTCTTGTCTAGTAGCTTAGTAAATGATAGCTCTTGAGTTGAATCTGCTGGTTGTTGCTCCTCCATCTCCTAAATACTAAAAAATTCAAAGAAACAATGATAGAAGATAGAATGAAATCTCCATTGGGCTTGCTTTATTTTATAGCAAAATTTTTTTTGACTCTTCATCTTGGTTTTGATGGATGTCATTGATGAAAAGTTTTAACTTTGGTTGATGCATTTGCTAGGTTCTTAGATGGCTTCCATGTGAATTCATTAATGCCATATCCACGCCAATATATCCGATATTCTAACCTATTTTGATGCCACCTTGAATCTAAGACTTCTTCTAGTCTAAATTCTTCATTATTGTCCATTTCTATAAGAGGTGGTGGCATTTGTCTCCTTCCTTGTATATCCATTGTCTTGTATAGCTCAAGTAAAGATACATGGAATACATGATGGATTTTTATAGACTTCAATAGGTGTAATCAATAAGCAATTGGATTGTTCTATTTACCAATGAAAAATGGTTGAAGCCTACAATAATCCAGCTTGTCACAAGGACAAATAGTTTAAATATTGCAACTAAGTAACCATACCTTATTCTCCACATAGAATTGAGGTTGTTCCTTGCAATAGACATCTACATTGGCTTTTTGTCGTTCTTGAGCTTCATTTAATTGTGCCTTTATTATTGCATGTAGCTCTGACAATCAATTTGCTACATCTTCTACTATAGGATTATCAACTTTTGAAAAGTCAAAAGTATCAAATTGTAGATGATAACTATAATTGACAAAAAAAGGTGTTTATTGAGTAGAAGAATGTACCAAATTATTGTAAGCAAACTCTGCCACTGGCAAAAGAGTTGTTCAATCATCTTGTTTATAGTTGATGATACACATCAAATATTGCTTTAAAACTTGATTTATCTATTCTATTTATCCATCAGTTTGAGGGCGGAAAGCCAAAGATAGTTTTATATCCACCTTCAATATCTTAAAAAGAGTTCTCCAAAATCTCAATAAAAATAGTGTTCCTCTGTTTGATATAATATCCCTTAGTAACCCATGATAGCAATAGATATTGTCAAGGAAGAATTTAGCTATTCCTTCACCTATGATAGATTTTGTACATGGTACAAAATGTGCCATCTTGGTGAAATGATCTACAATCATAAATATGGAATCATATGAACTTGAAATTGGAAGATCCATAATAAAATCTATAGAGACAGAAGACCATAATTATTCTAGTATAGATAATGGTTGGAGGAATCCATAAGATTGATCATGAAGAGTTTTTGATCTTGTACAAATATGACATGTCTTCACAAATTCTTTAATAACCTTCCATATTTGAGGCTACAAAAAATCTCTAGATATAAGCTTCAAAGTCTAATTATATCCAAAATATCTTGCTACAGAGAAATTGTGATGAGCTTCAAGAGTATGTAATTGCGCTTCTCCTTCTGGAATATATAAGCATCCTTTGAAATAGAATAGGTCTTTTTTAAACTCAAACTTGGAAGTATCTTAAGACTTAGAGGAATTATTTTTAATATCATGAATAAGAAGGTCTAAGGACATACTTGCTTGGATTTGCTTGAGAAAAGTCAAATCAATAATCAATGTTGATTTCATTGCTTGGAGATGAAATTATTTTGGCTTTAATAAAATTATCTTTTGTTGATCAAAAGTTACTTTTCCTTCTTTTGATGTAAGATAAGAACGTCTAGAAAAGGTATTAAACAAACCTTGTTGTTTTTTCAGCCAATAAGTGATATTAAACTCGAAACTTGATAAAGACATGCTCCAACGAGCCTAGCGATGATTCAAAACATGTGCTGATATGAAATATTCGAGATTCTTGTGATTCATATATATGATAACATGACTTGAAGTACCTTCTAAATAATGATGCCATTCTTGAAAAGAGTCTATAATTGTAAGAAGTTTCTTATCATGGATCTCATAATTAATCTTAGCTGCTAAAATTTTTCTTGAATGAAAAGCTACAGGATGAAATTTGTTATCTGCTTCTACTTGTGACAAGACTATATCCAAGGCAAAGTCAAATACATTTGTCTCCATAAAAAATACTTTAAAAAAATTGATGCAATACAGGATTGGTACAGAAGTAAAAGCTTTCTTTAAAGCTTGAAATGATGCTTCTGCTTCTTTATTCCACTTTAGCTTGTCTTTACAAGTTAAGCTTGTAAGTAGCACTCCAACTTGAGAAAAATTCTTGATGAAGATCTAATAGTAATTGACAAATCTCAAAAAAGTATTATACATCTCTTACTATTTTTGGAATCTTCCAGTCCATGATTGTGTGAATTTTTTTAGGATCCATCATTAGACCATTGTTTGAAATGATGTATCCTAAGAAATCAACTTAAATAGTGTAAAATATACACTTTTCCATCTTGGCATACAATCTTGTATCTCTAAGTTTTAGTAATACACGATGAACATGAACTTCATGTTCTTTTGCATTCTTAGAGTAGATTAAAATATCATCTAAATAACAGACAACAAATCATCTAGAAACTCATGAAAAACATCATTTACAAGATATTGAAAAGGAGTTGGTGCATTTGTGAGTCCAAAAGGTATGACATTATATTCAAAGTGTCCATACCTTATTCAAAATGCAGTCTTCCATTTATTTCCTTCTTTAATGTGGACCAGATTGTATGCTCTTTATAGACCTATTTTTGTATAAATCTTAATTTGATTTAATTGATCAAGAAGTCTAGATATTAAAAGCAGAGGATATTTATTCTTGATGGTAATCTTGTTGACTCCTCAATAATCCACACACATTTGCAATGATCTATCTTTTTTCTTCACAAATAAGATAGGAGCTCTTTTATTAAAAATTGTATAAGATTCTAGCTGCACGATCCTTATTGTAGCTAAATAAATTTATTTTCTAACATGTTTTCATCTTTGACAATAGTACTCCTCATTTTATAGTTGTATCATTTCTTTGGGCAATATTAAGTAGTGTCCTTAGCTTCTCCATAATATAATCAGTCTTTCTTGATGATAACAAATCTTTTCTTATTTGGTAAGAAGTTTAAAATGTACTTCATCAATTTGCATGTCTTCTACTTCTAAATGTTTAGATTGAAAAGTAGTTGGTGTTGTCATTGAATTATAATAATGTTAAGGTTTCTTTGTATAATTTTGAGATTAAAATTTAAAAAGTCGATTGTAATATTTATAACAAAGTCAATTGCTTGACTTAAT